TGTTGTAGATCAGGGTCAGATATGTGTACAAATAAAAAAATAAAAAAATAAAGAAAAGCATTGGGGATACTGTCATTTGTTAATTTAACGGCCTAAAGTAGGGCACGCTATTTTTGACCATTTTTAACCCCCTCCCCCTGTCACAAACTGTCACAAATCTCGGAACACCCCCCCCCCCAAGTCCGTCACCCCTTAAAACAAATATTTTTTTTAAAATTAACACTTTATTAAAATTTAATCTAAAACACACTTCACTATTAAACGGTATTAAAATATAAAATTTTAACTTAAAAGAACTATCACATTATTAAAATGACTTTAATAGCAGATAGTTCATTGTCAACAGTTGTCACACTTATTCATTGAAGCAGTAACTCAATCTAGATTGAATTTGAAAACAAAATTTGCAAAAATTAGACTAGACAATTATATAATACACATCATTTATCTGCTGATTTTTCATTTACAATAGGTGAGGTCAAGTTTTAGATAATCTTCCGATTATGCAATCTTTTTACATAGGATTAGAAGTAGATTAGTGAAACTTGACCTCGCCCAGCGATTGAATAATAAAAAGGACAGTGGCAGAATTATGCAGCGGACAACATAGAAATAGTAATACTTCAGGCATGACGAAAGCAAGGCTATACATAAGACAAGGCTTCGCAACAGCAGACTAGCGCTCCTAGCGAGAGGAATCGTGAACAACACATTCAGGAGATAGCCATTTCATGCTATTTTGACATAAAACTAATTCGAAGGTTTCACAAAATTATTTTTAAAGCTATTAAATTCTACTTAAAAAATAAAAAATAAATAAGAAATAATTTTTTTTTTAATGTGTGACGTCACACATGGCCTGCCCCCCCCCCCTCCTCCATGTCACAAACTGTCACACTTTCTTACACCCCCTCCCCCCTCTGGAGCGTGACGTACTTTATGGATGGCCCCTTGTCCCGTTCTTGACTCGATCTTGTTGTTAGCCTAAAGTGCATTATAAATGTTTTTAACATGTTTCTAGATGACTATAACATTAACAGGGAATTTACACATTTATATATATATGGGCTAATATATAAATTAGCATTGTTTATTTCTATATATATAGACACACACATTTAATTCGCCAAATGCGTCCTTAAAAAAGGGGTATCCCAGGACTCGGGTGAATTCAGTCTGAGACCCTCTGGTCCAACGCACCTGCATCCTGTTGGCATAACGCATCGCCCGCCTGGTAATGAACTGGAGCAATTTAAATTGGATCGATACCCAGCTCAAACATGGGGGGCATGTGACTCGTGGCGACGACAGTTCACACGGTCACAGATTTGAATCAAAGACGACCTTCATCAACGTCTGCATGGCATCGCGGCCATGTTGATCCATCCCAAAAATGTTTAGCCGTATCCCAATTCTGATCATCTTCAACACGCGAACAGCCAATACGACCTCTTGGTGTAATTATAACCCTTCATAATGTGCTTTTTTTTCAGAGAAATATTTCAATACACGTTTTTGAATTCATTCACAATATTCAATCACCATAAAAGCTGTTTTAACAAAAGTGATATATTTGTATTGGTTTCTTAAAAATAATATTTTTTTTAAATTTATTTTTTTTAAATTTAATTTTTTCAATGACATCCGTAACTGATCCCGGCAACATTTTCTTTCTACCTCGCTCATTCTCTTTCTGCCTCTCTCATTCTCTTTCTATCTCTCTCATTCTCTTTCTGCCTCTCTCATTCTCTTTCTATCTCTCTCATTCTCTTTCTGCCTCTCTCATTCTCTTTCTACCTCTCTCATTCTTTGATAAACCCACTATATAATTTTTAGGAAATAAGTTTATCAGAAGAGTTCTGTTCTGCACGCCATAGGACTGAGCATCGGGCAGAATATTTATAAAAGTGCGCTTGGTTGCGCGACAGAAATATCTCTTCAAATATATCATCTTAATCGAAAATGTTTTAGTGTGTAGTTTTGTACGTGGATTATAGCAGACACACATAAATGATGTCACGCATTAAATAATGGAAAGGGAAGGGTGGTGGTTTGGGGGAGGGGGGGTCACGAGCTTATGACGATGTACTTTGAGGTTGTCTAAATTTTTTGATGATTTTGTGACTATGAGGGGAGGGTGGGAGGAAATCGGCACAAATAACGTGACCTCATTTATGGATGGTCCCATAGGACGGAAATGTCAAAACTGTATTGAAGTCTTATTAAAAGTAGCATTGTTTATTTTGTACATTAACAAAAGTGTTCCTACCAAATGTGTCTAGGTTTTACGGCAGGCATGTCAAACACGCGGCCCGTGGGATACATTCAGCCCTTTGCCAGCACATCTGCAGCCAGCACAAAGGATACTATCATTTGTTAATTTAACGGCCTAAATCGCTTCATTGCTTTGCATTAATGAATGTGGCTAGTGGGCAGTGGCTAAACCAAGTATTTCCATATGTATGTGTCTAAGTTTTAGCAATAAAAAAATATATATTGCAATAACTTTTATTAATTGACTTCAGTTAGTTGTCATGCGTGGCCCTCATCACAACACAATGGGACCAATATGGCGCTCAGATGAGCCTCATTTTGACATGCCTGTTTTAGGGTGCTCAATTGTTTTCTTCTATAGTGCAGAAGAAATGACAATTGATTAATAGAAAAGACCATGATCGGCTCCAGTTCTGTGATTAGACACCAGATGTTTGAAGTATTTCAAGTGTTTCTTGGTAGGCACTAATAAATACTATGGCTTCAGTTTGACGACCCCTACCCCATAGCTTAACATCCCCCACCCCCGTATTGACAGCCTAGGGGCCGTCCATAAAGTACGTCACGCTCCAGAGGGGGGGGAAGGGGGTTTAAGAAAGTGTGACAGTTTGTGACAGGGGGAGGGGGGGTCAGGCCATGTGTGAGGTCACACATTTATTTTTTTTTTAAATTTTATTTCCAATTTATTATTTTTTTTTTATTTTTTTAGTGGAATTTAATAGTTTTAAATAAAATTGTCAAAAAAGTGTGTGTATCATTTGAATTAGTTTTATAATAATATTAATAATAATAATAAAGTTTATTTCAAAAACACGCTTCATCCCCAAAGGCTCGATGCGCGGTACAAAGTAAAAAAAATATTTTTAAAAAAAGTTTTATGTCAAAATAGCACGAAATGTGTTGTTCACGATTCCTCTCGCTAGGAGCGCTAGTATGCTGTTGCGAAGCCTTGCTTTCATCATGCCTGAAGTATTATTATTTCTATGTTTTCCGCTGCATAATTATGTCACTGTCCTTTTTATTATTTAATCATTTTGTGAGGTCAAGTTTCTCTAATATACTTCTTAACTTGTGGAAAAAAATTGCATAATCGGAAGATTATCTAAAACTTGACCTCACCTATTGTAAATGAAAAAGCAGCAGATATATGATGTGCTTATATAATGGTCTAGTCTAACTTCAATGAATAACTGTGACAACTGTTGACAATTAACTATTCTACTATTAAAGTTATTTTTAATAATGTGATAGAGGAAATTACGTGAACATTTTACATTTTTATACAGTTTAATAGTGAAATGTGTTTTAGATTAAATTTCAATGAGGTGTTATTTATTTTTTTTTAAATTTGTTCGAAAGTGTGACGTACATTAGGGGGAAGGGTCCATGATTTGTGACGGGGGGAGGGGGGGGGTGTAAAAAAATGGTCAAAAATAGCGTGACGTACTTTATGGACGGCCCCCTACAAAGGTGGGACAAGATCATCAATGATGTTAAACATTCACAGTTCAATTGATGATCACCTCACCCTGGCCGTAGGGATAGTCAAGTGAACATAATCTAAGTTGGAGTTTGTAACCTGCAGAAATGTGTATAATTATTCAGACTCAAAAGTTACATAACGGCCTTATTGAAACAATTGATTCGAAAACTTTGACCGTAATAATAATTAAGTCCAGTATCCTAAATAAATGTATGAATCCTAAAAATAAAAAAAAAATATAAAAATAATGTTCTTTCTCACTTTCCACCTAATAATAAACTGCATTCATCTATTTATTGCCTGTATTTTATAAGTTGTTCAAATAGCAAAAATTGGTTCTGACAACTAACTGAAATCCCAAGCATGACGCGTGAAAGTGGGTTGTAAGGGAGATAACGGATAAAAAAACTGTTAAATAGTTCTCTTTTTAAAGATCTATTGACATATTAAAGAAACGTTGATAGGGAAAATAATAATTTAAGAAACCGCAATTTACGCACAGGACAAAAAAAAGAAAGACTTTTAAAAAAATAGGAACTTTACTTTCCAAAAATGTTTTCTAAGCCTTATTTTAATTTTTTTTTTTTTAATTTCCCTAAATAAAATAAAATAATTTATTTTTTATGGTAGATAATTAATTACCACCAATAAGATATGGACAATTAAAATGAAAATGAGAATTAAATTTGTTGATTTATGGTATAACGTATTATTTTAAAGTAAAGTAATACCCCTTTTTAAATTATTTAACTAATTTGCGATGTGTATGAAAGGGATGCAAAGTAATATGACACAAATGGCCTAAAACGTATCCGGAAATTTGATCGAAAGAAATTTCGTGGACGGTAAATTAATCGACGGTAATTTGATCGAACAGAAATTTGGTCGAATCTTTTTTCAGTTTTTACTTTAAAACTTTGCTTCAAATTTTTTTGAACGCATTATTTTGTTTACAATTTAGTATAATGCGTTCAAACAGAAATTTTACGAAAATTTTAACGTATGAACTAAAAAAAGATTCACCCGAATTTCCGTTCGATCAAATTCCCGTTGCTCAATTTACCGTCGACGAAATTTCTTTCGATCAAATTTCCGGTACCCACTAGTGTAAGTTTCTATCTGCTAACCTACATTGTTTTGGTAGTGTTATTATTATTATTTTCTTTTGAAAAAAAATTTAAGGAAATATAAGAGTGATGTCCCTTGTTAATGCGGAGTGAGCTTTCTTTGTTAACAAGATGTAGTGAAAGACCGGAAGATAAACACGTCATAGCAGTTACCAGATGATATGCTCAACGTCAACGTAAGTCAACATTCATAAGGCAAACCGAACTTTTTCAAATCATCGACATAAATATAATAAGGGAAATGAAAAATGTTGGTGTTTGTAATTAATTATCATTATGGCTAGTACAATCTGGGTTTTTTTTTGTTTGTCTACTATTAGCCGCGACTACGGCACGGTATTTACTATTTACTATTTACTATCACTATCATTTTTTAATCTTTTTTTTTTTTATTAAATGGAATATTAGGATATTTAATATTATTTAAAATTAATAATAGTAGTCTTTAGTTTAAGTGTTTTATGATTTGTATATTCTTATAGTATATAATAATAACGAAGGGGCTATTCGGACCCGGCTACCAGAAGTGAGAGGTTGGGATTAAATTACAAAATATTTCAAATATTATTGTTGGGGTTGTTGTAAGATAAAATTTGTTATCGAATGAAAGATAATTGAATGGACTATGACTATATAAACGTAATTTTTCAGTTTGAAATAAACTACGACAAATGACATCCGAATAGCATTTAGTCAAATGGGACCCGGGTCCAAATAGCGGTGATGCGTGTCTGGAATATGCGGTGATGCGTGTCTGGAATATGCGTGTCTCTTTTGGAAATTAATTTTGTCAGCAATTTTTATGTTGCATTTAATAGGGAGATTCCTCTGTAGTTTGTGTGCATTGAAGTTTAAAACGTTTCTTGTGTATTGGGATTATTTGTGCTGTTACCCATTCTGCTGGTATTTTCTCTTCTTGGCAGATTTAGTAATAAGCTCATGTGGCTTACTGTCTAGTTCCCTTCCTCCATATTTCATAAATTTTGCTGTGATGAGGTCTTATTCAGGGGCTTTGTGATTATTCATGGAGTTGATTACTTATGTAGTTTCTTCCAAAGTTGGGGTGTTTATAAAGTGTGATGTCTTCCATGTGTTGTTTCATAATCTTCCTCTTGACCACTGTCTGGATTTTGTACTCCCTTATTCAGCCCACCTCTACAGTACTTCACTAATTTCCCTAATTAATTCTCTATCTTTGCTCTCACACATTTGAGGTCTAACTTGGTATCCATGCTTTTTTTCTTTTATCTTCATGTACATTCCTATAATATTTCACTCTCTTGATAATTCTTCTATTTCTTTTGGTTTATGTATTTCTCATTCCTTTTTTTTTCTCCAGCACATTTTCATGGTTTTTCATTCTGGTTTCATTGTATACTTGTCTTGTATTTCTGGTTTCCCTTTTTATCATGGTCATTTGAGCCTTGTTCCTTTCTTTGACAGCCTCTATGCATTCATGATCAAACTAGCCTACTCTACTGTTAGTTTGGAATCCTGTTTATTTTTCTGCTGATCTGTTCATAGCATTTTTTAACCCATACCACTATCCATTTATGTTGTTTTTACCTTTTTATTTTCTATCTTGATGCTTCTGGTTGTGCTTGTTATTCATTTTGGTAAGCTGTTGTGGTTAGTTGGTCTTGGTTAGATTTTGGTAATCACATTGTTTTTATCTTCGTTTTTGGCCATTGTGTACTATGCTTATTTTCTGTTTATATTTAAGTCTAAGTCATTCAGTTATTCCCGGGGTGTCCACTTTATCCCGTTCCTCTTTTTGTCTGTGGATTTGTTCATTATCCAGTCAATGACAAGGATGAATAGAAAGGGGGACAAGAGACATCCTTTTCTGAATCCTGTTTCCATATTAAAGGCATATGTGAGCCTACCTTCATGGACCATCATGCATGTCATTTCTTCATTAGATCATAGTTTTTCTGGTACCCCATAATGCCAGAGAGGTTTCCTCAGGGATTGTCAGGCCAGGCTATCAAAGACCTTTTAATAGACATAAAATTTAGTTATAGGGGGAGTTCCATTTGATTGACTGTTCTACAATGATTCTACTAATGATATTAGTGTTGCAATTTGATCTATGCATGTTCTGTTTTGGCAGAAGCCAGCCTGTTGATCTCATAGCTGCGTGTTGACCTGGTCTTTCATTTAAAAAAAAATAATTCTGTTAAAGATCTTTCCTGTTACAGACAGCAGTGTAATTCCTCTGTAGTTTGCACAGTTACTGAGATCCCTTTCTTTGGTATCTTGACAAGGTATCCTACTTTCCAATCTTTTGGAACTCTTTCTTCTTCCCATATTTTTTCAAACAGAGGGTGCAGCATGTTGACTTTTGTAATCTATATCTGCTCTCATCATCTCTGTTGTGATTTTATCTGGTTACGAGGCTTTCCCTGTTTTGAGCTGCTTTGTTGATAGCCAGGGCAAATTCTTCCTTATTTGGGACACCACCTTCTATTTGTAAATCTTCATTTGATGGTTGTGTGTCTGTGGGTGGAGGTCTATTTAGTAATTACTTGAAGTATTTCACCCATCTTTTTTTGTTCTTTTCGTTCTGTTATTGATCTACCTTCCTTGTCTTTAACCGGTCTCTGACTTCTTGTATCTTCCTAAGAGCTTTCTTGTTATGTCATTGAGCTCTTACTCAGCTCTTTCATGTTTCACTTTCTGGCTGCTTCTTCTGCTGTTGATGCTAGGTCATCTATGTAAGCTCTTTTATCCTTTTTGATGCTGTTCTTAACACTTCGAATTGCTTCTTTATATTTCTCTTGTGCTTTTGTTTCCTTTGCCCTGGTGCGGCTATTGCTAACTGAACATTTCATTTCTTTCCTCTCATTTATTTTTTGCAACGCGTTTAGTGAGAGCCAATCTTTTTGTTTTTGCTTCACCCGTCCTAATACCCTGTTGCCCATGGACGTTACAGACATCTTTATGTTTTGCCATTAAAGTTCTATCTGGTCATCATCTGTTTGGGTTTGCAGTGCCTGGAACTCATTTCTCAAGGGAACACTGAATTCCTGTTATTTCTGCTCGCTTGCCAGAAGTGCTATGTTATATTTTAGTCCTCTAGCAGTTGGCTCTTTCCAGTAAAATAAATTAATGATAATTATGTCAGCTTTTCAGTTGTTTATGTACAGTTTGTTTTTTTTTTTTTTTTTTTTTTTTTTTTTTTTTTTTTTGGGGGGGGGGGGGGGGTCTTTATACTGGATTTTGACTCCTTAAATAATTGTGTTGTAAGAGTGATCATTGATCTCAGTCTCATGTCCAAAATAAATAAATTCAGTTCTCTCTTTCTTTTCGATGAGTTCTTTGCGATCAGCTGTTGGTATTGACCCAATGTTTGTTAAAAAACAAGAAATGCATATTATATCTTAACGTTAATTATAAAAATTCATTGAAGTTGCAAATAAAAAATTCATATAAAATCTGAATCATCCATCTTTTTATCTTCTTTCTTTCAACAGCTGTTTGGCTCTTGAGATGGCATACAATCCAGAAAGTGGAGGTGTTCATCTTGAACTTGTAAAGATTGTTGCTTATTGAGAGTGTACATTTTTCAAAAGTGCTAATGATAACAGAATTTCATCATAGCCTGAACTCGTATATTTCAAGTGTAATTTAAGGAATTGGAAGAACAGAAGGCTGAGATTTACCACATATCAAGTGTTCTATGTGTTCTATCGAACTAATATAAAGTAATACTGAAACTTGCCTTCAAAGTAAGTATTGTGCCCGCAAGATGTGTCTTTACTTTAACTGATATTTTGAATATTTAAAACATTTTATAATATGAAATTCCTAGGTCACATAACTGTCAGTGTCCACAAGTGTCCATAAGAACATCTGGTGGGTGATAATTTAAATGACTGGCTGTGTCAACAGTCATTTGTTATTCCAGATGGTGCCCAGGGCAGTTGTGTCAACAATGCATTGTGGCAATGGTATGTTGTTTTAGCTGTTGAGTTATGCACTAATGATTAAGTTGAATGATCTTGTTTCACCAGATGTACACACTGATGTCAGGGTTCTACAAGTACATGTGTCAGAGAGATCAGTACTTTGTCCTCATCCTGGGACTGGACAATGCTGGGAAAACAGTGAGTGGATCCTGTTTGCACTGTTTGATTTATTCCAAAATTTTTTTAAATCAGTTTCTATGGAAAAGGCTAAGTCTTACAAGTCAGTGGGGTTATTTATTACCTGGAGCACAGGTTGGGAACAGCTGATCTAGTTAAATAGACATGACACTCATACATCTTGGGATGGGCACTAACTGTAAATCTGTCATTATTTTTAAAATTTCTGTTGGTTACCAAGCATCCTGAACAAAATTTTAGCAGTTAAGTACTTCTCACAATTTTTTAATACTAAGCTCTTCAAGAAAATGTAGACACTTTATTACAGATCTATCAGTTACAATGAATAACAATATTTTGTATCTCTACAGACATTTCTAGAACAGACAAAGACTAAGTTTAACAGAAATTACCAAGGAATGAATTTAGCTAAAATAACATCAACTGTCGGTCTTAACAGTAAGTTATGAGTAAGAATATATGTGTAATATCGTGATATGTTTGCATTTATATTTGATTTGCTGGGACTATTTTAATTGCTTCTATCAATATTTTCCCAGCTAAGTTTTAGCTTGTCAAAGTATCCCCTCGGAAAGACATCTTTCTACATTTAAAAAAAATAAAAACAAATTATAATATTTATTTGAACACGTCATGAAATGCTAATTTCTTGCTAACGTCTTTTACAGTTGGAAAAATTGATGTAGGGACATCAAGGCTAAATTTTTGGGATTTGGGAGGCCAGGAGGAGCTTCAGTCCCTGTGGGACAAGGTATTATAGGGATATCTTGATATAGAATACATAAATGTTTTAAAAATAAAGTTAGATTAACATTGATTGTCATCTTTCATTTATGAAAAAAATCCACTTACATTTAATCAAATGCTTTGATTGTCCTTAGTACTATGTGGAGTCCCATGCAGTCATATATATTGTTGACTCATCTGACAGAGAAAGGGTTGAAGAGTCCAAGGAGGCATTTGGTGAGCTAGTTATAAGTGTAATTTTATTGACAGGTCTCAAACTTTAAAAAAGTTGAATCCTTACATATTTAATATCTCATCAAAATTTGAATTATTGCTAAGTTTACATTTCTGTTTTGAGCAACCCTTATATTTTTATTGTAGTCATTGCCAGAGTCTCCTTTCATTCATCTTAGGCCACAGCAGGTTATTGAAGAAAAGTACAGGTGAATCAATCTGTATGTTCATTTAGAGACCGCCAATACAAACGATTGAAGAAAAATGGCTCGATTGAACTTAGAGAGGAGGTACTGAGGCTCCGCCGAACCATCCAATACTTATTGCTCAGATCTTATTGGACTACATGAACAGCAACTTTTCAGAGGAAGACTCCCTGACCAAAGGTGTCAAGAACAAGCGCTTCTGGAGCTATGTGAAGCACCAAAATTCCTCAAACGCTGGAGTTTCCTCACTTAGGTGGGATGGCCATTTGACATCTGACCCAAAAGCACAGGTTGACATACTCAATCAGCAGTTCCAGTTTTTCTTTGGTGAGGGTAGAGAGCACTCGAAGGCTGAGTTCCTTCTGAAGACCAAAGTGATGAACAGAGCCTACCCTGCCATGGAAGATATCCAGATATCAGAGCAGGGTGTGCTTGCCCTCCTCAAAACCATTAACCCCTACAAAGCATGTGGTCCTGACAACATCAAACCACGAGTGCTCAAAGCATTAGCCAAAGAAATCGCTCCTGCACTGACAATCCTCTTCCAATTGTCGCTGTGCACAGGAAATGTTCCAGCAGACTGGAGAACAGCACATGTCACTCCAATCTACAAGAAAGGGGAGCATTCCGACCCTGCCAACTATCGTCCCATATCCCTCACCAGGGTGGTCTGCAAACTGTTGGAGCACATAATTGTAAGCACAGTCATGAAGCATCTTGAAAGCCAAAATATACTCAATGACCGTCAATATGGCTTCCGAGTCAATAGATCATGTGAGAACCAGCTCCTTGAATTTGTAGAAGACTTGATGACCAATCTGGAGAATCACAAGCAAACTGACGTGCTGGTGATGGACTTTGCAAAGGCATTTGACCGTGTCAATCATAGTTTGCTTCTACACATATATACAGAGTAAAAACCAGAAAAAGGACGACACAAAAAATACAAACGTTTCAACCAAACAGCCTTTGGCGGCAAAAAATCCCAGAGACAAAAGCGCTTAGCTTGTTGTAAAATAATTTAGTTGACAGGAAAGGGTAGACACATTCAATTACATAGCATTGTACAACTTTTACATCCAGTGGGTTTGTACGTGTGATAGTATAGCCTGAGGTTTACCCACAGCTATCGCAGTGACGCTCAGATCGTGTCTTTTACAGTATTCCCATTAAGTGGCACCTTGCCACATATAAACACCCCATTAGTTCTAAATAATATAATGTTCCAAATATCCGCAAAAATTTTATGTACTTGTTATTTTACAATTACTTAATATTTTGTGTATCATTAAATCTAGACAGTGCAATGTTGTTGTTTTTTATATTTTATAGAAAAGATGGTGATGAATGACAATCTCACTGGTGTCCCGCTAATGCTGTTGGCAAATAAACAAGATTTAGATGTAAGTTACAGAACATTCATTTTACATAAAACAGCTCAAATACCACTCTGTGTAATCTTAATGCAGCATGATTTCCAGGAAAAATGTCAAATGGGTGGTGACTGAAATGGTAAAACGTTATAATTCATATTTTTTAAATTCTTAAATATTCTATTTAAATGTGGGGATTGACAGTTGGAACTTAATTATCATAATTTTGAATATCTGATTTATGAAATTCTGATAAAATAACCAAGCTCAAACTGCTCTAATAGATTCCATTAAGCTAGGCCAGAGCTTCTCATAGTGACTGCTACTGCAGGGATTGCAAAAAGGGAAACTGGTTAAATTTATCAGGAATAAGATTTTTTAGATTAAACTACACATTTTAAAGACAGGGAATTTACTGTTTGTTTTGTAAACATAAATTAGAGTCAGTGATGGATTTCAGTCAGAGGTAGTTTAATTTTTTTCAGACACAGAAAAGAAAAGGCATTTCAGCTAATTAAATAGAATAGAGCATTGTCAATGAATAACAATACATGATTTACACCCAATGAGGCACTGTAAACAGTTAACTCTAGTAATACCATGGTCAATTTCAATTCAATTGAGATGAAGACTGTCAAAAATCAATTGTGACGCTTCTAAAGAAAATTTTGTTGGCTTGCATGCATCATACAACATTTTATTACATATTGCAGTTGATGGCTAAATCTTTTGATGGAAATTCATGAATTTCTTTTAGATACTTTGAGAAATGGAATGTCTGTTGAAGCATTTTTCATTTTTTCGTTTTTTTTTTAAAGGGTTGTTTAAAGGTAACAGAGGTGAAGACAATCTTCAATAGCCCTCTTCAAGCCATGGGACAGCGTGAATCATGGGTACAGGCAGTGTCTGCTCTCAAGGGGTAAGTTGAAGCAAACTAACAGCTCCACTCCTCGCTGACTTGGTGCTTTTAGCCAGCAGCTTCCTATCTATTGGAAACCCACAAGGTTTCAGTCCCCCACAACATGTATAAACACTGCCAACAATGTGCACTCTGTTGTTTCAGTGATGGGGTTCAAGAAGGAATCAACTGGCTGGTTGAAGCCATTAAAAGAAACAGCATATCACGACCTCCACAACAGAAGGAGATCACATGATCAGACAGAAACAAGAACTTTGTCAAATGTCATTCCAGCAAAAATGTCAAGAGTGTGTGTGTTCTGGGACTGTCTCCCCTTACGCACTCAAAATGGTGGGTCCATAGATAAAACTTCATGTAATATATTCTATTTCATCAGATCAGTTGAGTTTAACTCAATGGCTTGCCAAAACTGTCTGATGTGGGAACAAAACGGGTGATACATTTACTCTATTCACGTCACTTTTCATGAAACAGTACATAGTCCACTATCGGCTGCCGAAACTCAGCTTCTGGTAATTTTTTTTAATGCTCTTTTATTATTAATATTTATTCCAAAAGCTAAGTTCAGACAGACCATTATTTTCATGTTCGCATTAGTAACTTTTTATTCACAATGTTTCATTTTTGGATCATTATTTTTGAGAGCCTCAAGGTAGAATGTGTCTGCATGTGTAAACAATCACAAAATTTACATATAAAAGGGAAGATTGTCTAAATAGAAATGGAAAAAAATATATAATTTTCTGTCTGTGTACCGGTACAGATAAATATTAATCTTGAAAAAGGCTCAAATTTGGGGACGAAGAAAACATTGATAGGAGTTTCAAAATGGTAATTTACTTGGCGAGAAACTTATGGGCAAGTTCCTGTAATCCGGCTCTATAATTTTGGACCTGTTTAATTTAGTTTACTGAGTACTGGTATTGCACAGAAGATTTTGATTTTAAAAGTAGCTTTTATTTAAAAGAATTGTAACAATCTTCTTATGTTGCTGCCTAGGGGTGTGCCGGATCCGTTTTTTCCAACCGGATCCGGATCCGGATTTTCTTATGCGAAATCCGCCGGATCCGGATTCCGGTTTCTCCCGGATTCCGGATTTTGGTACTATTGGTAGATACTTCGGTAAGTCAAGGTGGACTACTACTTTTTGTGTATGGGAATTCGCAATCGGCGCCAAAAAATCCGAGTTTTTAATTTTCCGATGTGTGTGTCTATTTATTATTAAATTAGTACTTTCGATATATATTTGAGTTCCGTTCCATTTGGATAAGTGTCTTACGAGAGACGCCATGTTTCTACGCGTTCGCAGCAGGTTATGCAGCTCGCTCAACCTAATTTCGCCATGGGGTTGGCCACGCCCCCCTTTTTAATGGCGGAAGTTGACGATACTTAGGAAATATTAATTTATTATCACTATTTACATCAAAATAATTGATAACTTGTGTTTCAGAATGCATTTAAAGACATTTAAACTGGAATGTTTTAATTTGAGCTTTAACAACCCGGTAGAATCCATATTATAAATGATCAGAATTTACCGTGTGCAACACGTTGTCATTGGCAACCATTCACAGCCACTTGCATAACTGTATCGTAGTACTACCTCAGAGTTTCATTCATAAGAGTTTGCCGTGTGCAAAAACTATTAAACCATTGGTCAGGGAAAGCTTTAATTAATTATTCATGTGCCAAAGTTGAAAGTTTAAACTAAGTCTAAACAGTATTTTAGTGATAAGGCAGGGAATGCGTTGCCTTATATAAACTATATAGTCATTGCGCATGACGGGATTGGTGGAATGAGATCACAGAATGTGGAGATGCAGTCCATGTTAAAAAATGACAAACCAAGTCGTACTTTAAAAATTCATAACTTTAAAACTACAACAGCTAAAAATATGATTTTGGTGTTATAATTCTTTAAAAAATTACATCTTTTCAACTATGCCATTGGTTTATTTTTACAAAAAGTTTAAATTTTCTTATCAAAGTCCCTACACTATTGGCCACTATTAGCGGTGCTGACTCTAGCCTCTGGTATGTACGGAATATTAAACATTAAACAAGCTCAACGCTCGAAACAATCGATTAATGTATCGTGATCGTGTGGAATTCGGGAAAGAGAATTACTTTTATTTCAGATTATGATCCGGTGAGTCACAAAATCTGGCAAATTCCGAAATCCGGTATATTCCGGAATCCGGTTGTTCCGGATACATGTAAATCCGGCGGAACCGGATTTCACCGGATAGTGCAAAATCCGGCGGAACCGGATTCCGGATCGGGGTCCGGCACACCCCTATTGCTGCCTTATGGATAGGAAAAGTAGTTGTAAACGTTTGATTATTTTAAAATTTAGTTGAAGTTACACTTGAAACTTATAATTAGATCATATTATTTTTATATGTGTTTTAACTGCAACTAAGTAAATGTGTATTATAAGTTAAACTCAATAGTTGCAGACCTGTTAACTCTTACGATTTTGCTTACGATTTTGGCGTGCAGTGGATGATTTTGAGGTGTATACATTATACATACTGTATGTTTATTTTTTACTGTAAATATAAGGTATTGGGCGATTTGTGATGATATTGTACGATTTTAAGAGTTTGCGGGTAAACAGGTCTGTAGTTGTAAGAAAAATAGACACTTGGAAGTTTTCAGTCTAGTTAATTTCATATTTTAAAAATTGGTTGTTGTGGTCTCATTAAATATAAAATATTAATTCAAGAAGAATTGAATTCTTGTTAAGGCATGTATAAAAGAGAGATATAAAGTTTTACAGTGATGTGGATTTGAATCGGGCATATTATAATGCAGCCATTTATTTATTGATGTTGCGTGCTTGTTTGTATAGGATGCTGATATTCAACCATCATTTTGTTGTACATTTAAAATGAATTTATTTAACTAACTGTCATTAATAGGACAAACAGATAACATTTAAATATAGTGCTCTAGTCATCAGTGTTCTCAAGCCAATAACTAAATTAAATTTATTTTTTCTTCTCATACTCTTACCTTATCATTTAGTAATTTTTTTAGGAACATAGAGAGGCTCTAGAAAGAGAAGACTACAGAACGAGCCCTGGTTACATGTATTATCAGCTGAGTACCACAAAATTATAAATAGGTATTTGAATCCCTCATTCAAGCTGGAAATAATGTGACAGCAAAATGTGGACACAGCTAAAATGGTGTATAGGCTAAGAGTTTGGTTCTTAGCCTGTGCTCCACTTGCACTTCTCAAGGGCTCCGCGGCACTGACGTATCAATGCTCCCCCTCTGAACACTGCTGAAATCTGAAGTCTGAAGCCAGTGTGCACATAAATTTAAAACATATTACTTTCTGGATTCAATTTTTCAAACCCTTCAAACAATTGCTGGGTATATATATCAATCACAATGTGACGATAGTGAAGACTTCGGAGGACGAAATCCGCAAGGTTGCCATCCAAGGTTAACAGTCCCATCCACCTGGGGTGCTGGTGATGTTTTTGCTTGACTGTACTTTTGGCTTGAATTGAACTCCAGACCACCAACTTGAGATTTGCTCAATTGAGACCATTCAGCCACCCAGCACCCAAACAAATGAGTCATATGTTATAAAATGTCACACTAGATTTTTCTTAAATTTCACACACAAAAATGTTTCAAACACAGTATTTTGTACACACAGCTTCAGAAAATTAGAGGGAAGTAAAATTAGAGGGAACAATGAAGCCAATCAGTTGCAGTACAATTGCTAATACCACTTACAATGACAACAGTTCTCCCACTGGAAGCGAAAATAACTAAATTTTAGTTAAAAAAAGACAGACTTAGCTATTTGTTTCATCATTCTTGTTGTGTTGTTGAGTTGTGTAGTACTCTATTGATTAATATTGTGGGCACATGTTAACATCAAAATACATGGCTTTAGTAGTTCATTGTTTCATTTTTTTAAAACTTATGTTCATTTATCGTTATGCTACAGTAATAATTATATTTAAAATTAAATGAGGATTTTGCCCAGTGCTTATGTTTGTTAATTTTAAATGAGAGACAATACTGTAAGCTATTATATTTTATACTATTGCCATTCACTTAGTCCAAAATATTATTTCGAAGTTAACAGTTTAAAAAGAATTTTATAGTATGTTTTGAAATGTTCAAATGTTTTTGTATAAGTAAGCAAGTTCACAATGCCATGTCAACTTATCTTTTAACATTATTTAAAGTAGTGTTTTACAATATACTTACATTTGGTAAAAAAAATAACAGCAATCATTAAGACAAAAGACAAACAGTCTGTGTTCTCTTCATAGCCATAAGAGTGAGGTACCATAGATCCAAGAGCACAAAATGCTGTGAAATACATGATATAATAGAATCAGTCAGCGAAAATCAACTTTAGCTGTCCCTATCATTCACATGGGTGTAGTATTATTCGTAAAAAACTTACATACAATACGTCAACTCCTCGAGAGTAAAAAAAAACCTCAAGACATCATCAGAAAATGCTTTTAATTCTAAAATAAATACAAACAGGTGAGCAGGACGTGGACTACATGTTTGATATGTTAAATTGTAGGATGTACTAACCATGAATAATATCAACGCAAACGAAGCTTTGATAAGAAATGGCTTTCTACGCTAGCTTTAATGTATTATATTTATTGTAAGGCAAATTATAGTGCTGGAAACTAAGTACGCTAAATACTGGAACCAAACTTTTGTAATACCGGTACATGCATAAAACCAATTTTAAATAAAGTTTATTTTCATGTTGAATGACTTCGGCTTTTAATTTTATTACTTGGATATCAAATATAATGTGTAAATATCAACTGGTGCAAACGACATATTACCATGATTAATTTATAAAAGTAGCTATAATTTTTTTAGAAAACGGACAAAAATAAACGCTTTAACAGTTGTTCTTATTTTTGCATAGTTATCTATTCTTTTTCATGCATTTCAGTTATGTCCTTACAAAATGATTTAAAAACAACCTAAAATACCACAACATAATGCATTTGAAAACTTGTGAATGAAATATTCTAGCATTAGGCTGGGGTACCGCGCTATATAAGACCCCTTATGATTATTATTATTCATTTTATCACGCTTTTAAATAGAAACAGCAGTGACAGAACACCTTGTTTTTATTTAATTTCTACCTGATATGATGTTTTCACAAACCCCTAAAATATTTCTTATAATCCATGTTTATATATTATTATTTTACACAAACTGCCCAATAGTATTCTGTTAATGGCCTATGCAATATTCACCTCATCTCACAATCTGCAGGTGTAAAATCATTTAAAACCACTGGCTTAGGATACATTAGCTAGGTGCCAATATAAAATCGTATTGGCTACTTTCCCTAATGATGTCCTCTGAACATCTAGAACCAAAACTATGCTAGAAATGGGGCCATCCATTTTATAAGGAGATGTGGTAAAAGGCTGTGACTGGGTTTTAACAAGCATTATAACAATCATAGAATCTTTGGGGGTTGTCAAAAAGTTGCAACAGGGAGAAGGAGATTCATTGTTTTTGTTACCGGTTACAAATTTTTTTTTTTAAATATGGATGACCCCCCCAAACCCATTAGAATATTTTAAATATTATTTTTTTCTTCACATTTTCTTTAAAAAAATTGAACATCAGATCTGTTTTCCTTCTAATCAATCTGTGACTTTCTTTAATGATTGTTAAATTAAGACATCTTGCTAAATCCTTTATATAAAATATATTTGAGAATTCAGAGCCACAAAATATAGAAGAATTTATGGTAGGCTGTTCAAGTATTGCTTGCAGAGTTATAATTTCATGGATGACACGAATAAAGGGAAATTCAAGGATAGCACCGACTGGTGCTCATCATTCTCTCACTTCACTTTAAGCAACAATTATTTGAATGAGAACTTGGTCATGTGATTTCCCCAGACATTCCATATTAACAACATACAAGGTAATCCCTGAATGGCTGAAATCCATGTTTATATATCATTATTTTACACAAACTGCCCAATAGTTTTACTGAAATCAAATTAGTATTCTGTTATTTACATGCACTGCCATAAATTAGAGCTAAAGCATTTGCATTATACATGTATAGGACTACGTGATACACATAGTGTAAATAATAAGCCATACATTTTAAAAGATTATGGATCAGATCACCAAACAACATATGTCCTCCTTACTTCAGTTTTTTCAACCCTTCTATTTCATGGCATAATTATTTATTTTTTTCCAAATTTGAAAAAATGAAATGGACTTGGAATTAAATGAAAAAATAGCATTTTTATGAATTATGATGACATCAATTATTTTATTAAGTTGTTATGGTTTTCAAAAATGGAAAAAAAACAACAAATCCATTTTCTGATTATTTTCCTTCACAGTGATTAGTTAAAATAAACCCCAAAAAACCCATTCAAATTCTGTCAACAAAGTCTGGCATATCTTAGTATTTGAGTATCACAACAGTGTATTGGGTTCAAATGAAAGTTTGAGAAACACTCCAGCTATATAACCAAATAATATTTGACTAACTTTTTATAATAAATAATTCTTTGGTGATTATATATAGACTCAATAAAAACACATAGGTAATTCAACGCTAAATTAAATGAAAGATTTCTTGAATCTCAATATAACATTTGTTTATTGCTAGTGAGATTTGATATCAAGCGTTGTCTATCTTTGTGGGTTAAAAAAAAAATTTCCATCATTTATTTTTGAGAAAAATGATACAAATTGATATGTAATGCAAAGTTGCAATTTTCAAAATCTTTTAACATGGGACTTAAGTTTAAGGAAAATATAATAAATTTAGCTTTGTAAACATTTTACTGTACTCAATGAGGGCAAGAGAGGCAAAATGTTATTTCCATTTATTGAGTCAATTACTTGGACTATGGCAGATGTAAATACTTTTCCTCCTCTCCTACATAGAACATTAAGTAATCCATTTCAAAAGAATGATCTTATCTTCAGTTAACATATAAAGGACAGACAATTTGTAGGACTGTTACGCAGCAGTATCAAACTTTCTAACAACAGATTGCTATTTAGGACTAACCTTAAAGACAAAAGTAATACCGTCATGTTATAAAACACTTAAGGGTTTCAAAGGCTAAATATAATATTAATATAATTATTCTTGTATTATAGAGATTCATAAATCATGAGAAACAGAATTGGGTCTAAAAAATGTTATTTTAATCTATCACTATTTCTAAGAATGTAGACAAATACTGGGTCCATAGAGCAATAATAGCTTTTAGAAATCTTTTATTATTAATGGAGACTATCATAAATCATAGTCAAAATTAAATATATCAGAGTGAGCACTGTGCGAATAAAAGTAATTTGTTCTCCATTTATAAAAACATTAACTAGAGCTTAACCAAAAAAATTATTCTTATCTTAAGACTTAAGTGACATTTCTCTTTCTTGTTTATGATTGATATGTAAAAAGTATAATCCATAATCTTTGGTCAAATTAGTAACACAACTCTTGAAATTAGTGAAAAGATGTATCACACCATCAGAAATTAGTTTTTTAACAGTATAGATGTGAAATTTATTTCCACTGATTTGATCATCCCAGTCATGTGCTCTAAACTAACAATGATATAATTGCATTTTATTATCATCACATAAAAGGTTTCAAAATACTACTTGCTACAAAAAAAATTCTCTTTGTTATTATCCCAAATTTTATGAGAAAATTACATATCGTAGAGTCAAGTGCTGAAGATGGCAAGCCTTTAAAAAATTACATGAGAAATTAGGGTTTCAAGACCTCTGGATAATCTTTAAATTAAAAAGACAAAGTTAATTAAAAGGCACTTTTAAAAAACAGTCCCCAACATGTAAATTACAAGTTTTAATTTGATTTGGAGCCTTCCTGTTACAATATCCTGTTCTTTTATTTAAAAGAAAAAAACAACAGATTTTTAAAATAAATGTAAAATACAATTTACAAGACTGAAATTATTGAGTGACAACTTTTGACTAAAATACTATCAAAAAAGAACATAAGTTGTTCTTAAAATAAAAAGTAACACATTTTGCTACAAATAACTAAAACTGTTTAAGCCCTGAATAAACTTAATTCATCATAAAGTCTATTATTTACTATTAGAGGTAAATGGCATTCCTTGGACTGAAAAAACATAGAAATACCTTTTACCTTAAGACTTTCATAATGTTGAGGTATTAGTATAAATATTATATCGATGGCCCTACACAAAACTAAAATGACGTCAATATGTCACAGATAATTATCCAAGTTATAATTGCTAGGACATCTTTGATCCAAGAGCTTTCACAATGTACTGAATTTGACTTGGTTTGTGGATTGAAAGCATCTGTTTGGCTTCTTCTATAGTAAACCATTGTCGACTGCGAGCTGAAATACACAGATAAATAAGAGGGCTGAAATAATTTTCAAGCGTCAAGACTTTCTATTTGTTGAATGGTAATGTATGGTGGATGTAACATGTCTTATTTTTGTTACTGGTATCTAAATGACTCTAAAACTTGATTGAATTTATACTTCCTGGCTACTTTGTGATTTCTAATTTAATTATAAATAAGAATACTGAACATGTGGATTCAACAAGAAGTATGGAATAAAAAATAAAAAAACTGACCAAGACTTTTTGACTCTGTCCAATGTTCTTGTAGATGTTCAACATAGAATACATACACCCAAGTTCTTGTCTTTTTCTCTGCGTTCTAAATATTTTAGAAATTACAATTATTTAGACATATTAAGACACACAAAATAGATTAGACATTTTTAACATGAATTTTTCAGCATTTATTAATATAATATGTGAGCTTAAAAACCAAAATAATTGATGTGGGTAGGTGCTGTTTCAATAAAATTCATTACATTTCAAAGATTGTAAGAAATATACTACAAATATATCTGTTACCGGTACTTCAGAAAAGAAAAAAAAAGAAATATCTCTATGTTACATTGATTATTTTCCTGTTCTTTGAACTGTTATTAAGAAGTTGTATTAAATATTTGTATCACCACACTACACTGGATTTTAAAACAAAAATTAATTTGTATCTGTAGGCTAGAGCTTACATCAAAAACTCCAACTAGCCTATCCAATACTCCTATAGCACCAGCTTCTTCATGTGCTTCCCTCTCTGCAGCTGCTGCTGTCTCCTCTCCAGGGTCAATGCCACCCCCTGGAACAATCCACTTACTGATATCATGGGTAGAGCTGACTAACAGTATCTGAGTTATAGAAAATATGCTTTGTGCACCCAAATGTAAAATAAAATCTCTTACATTTTTAAATAGTTAAGTACAAGCAAATTCACATTTTTAATTAATTATGAAAAATGTCCATCTTTACCTTAAGGGATAATAAACATAAAAGAGTAAAATTGTGTTAACTTTACGATAGTAATATTTTAAAATTCAAAATGACTCAATTAATTTAAAAAATATAAATATGTGATTAGGGATAAGTAACACAATAACTAACCTCCTTCTCATTTTGATCTTGAAAACATAAACATGCTGCTCGTCTTCTAAGGCCATCAGAGTCATATGTCCTGGCTGCTGTTAAGTCTTTCATATGCTTAATTGTCTCTTGAGCTCTTGTATGTGACATTGATTGGCATTTAACTGAACTCATATTCTTATTTGACGTTAATGATCTCCAGAATATTCTGCTGAGAATTTTAAGGATAACAATAAATTACCCATAAATTTACAAAACCTTAACAAAAATTTCTCAGTTCTCAATACTTTTTTGTTATTGACTTTGATGTGCTAGTTTATCAACTGATTACTAAACTGAATTACTAAAGTAGCCTAGATAGCAAATTTAAAACAATTTTTAAAAAGGCAATATTGTTGAAATGGGAAAGAAATGTGAAACAACCATCAAAGTGATCACATTGATACTGTCAACCATAACAGTAATTTTAACACTCAGTTACTAATGACGAAAACTTTATGTTTTTCACAAACACTTTTTAAAGTAGTGGTTGTGAATGAAAATGTATTGAATAAGCATGATGTGACAATGCTTATTTTGTAAATCATTGTTAGTTTTATTCACTAGAATTACTGTACTCCAATTATTCTACATTATAACTTACATTGCACCTTTTCTCAGCATTCAATCTAAAACTTGTACAGCATTCATCAGCTGCAAGCAAAGCAAAGAAAATGTTAAAATTTCAAAATAATTTTTTAAACTTTTAAAAAGATCAAATTATGGCATTTTGATAAATATGTATTAGGAGAGTATGTCAAAATCTGGAATATTAAGTACAAAAAATGTATTAGCTTCATCTAATATTTCATTACATGACATTAAGCCATGTTGACTTAGCATATATTCTTAATGCTTTTATTCTATGATCAGGGCACAATTTTGATTTATATGATTATTATGATGATCCCAGAAAGAAGGGCACAATTTTGATTTATATGATTATTATGATGATCCCAGAAAGAAGGGCACAATTTTGATTTATATGATTATTATGATGATCCCAGAAAGAAGGGCACAATTTTGATTTATATGATTATTATGATGATCCCAGAAAGAAGGGCACAATTTTGATTTATATGATTATTATGATGATCCCAGAAACATAAATGTGAAGTGCAAGTCTCCGAAAACACTACTAACTTCTTTGGAAGTGGGCCCCACACTCCAGTACTTAGGACATAGCTTAATTTGTCTTAAAGTTAACTTAAGTCATAATGAGCACTGGTTGAGACTGAGTAGTGGTGCAAGTTAGGTCCAAGGCCAAGCTTATTTCCAAATGACCCAATTGACAATTTAGGCAACTATATTTAAATTTAGGCTAGGCTATTGGCAAGTTAAAATTGAAATCAAACTGTTAAGTCGAGGGTGGTAACCTAAATTAAAAAAACAAGCAACAGTAAATTAAAGAGTGCCTACACGTCCGGCGACTGGACAAATAGTGCGGGAGATATTCATCCGGTGGGCATGTCACGCTTTATTTAACATTGTCACTTTTTACCCATTTGTTCATTACATATGTGAAAACATGAAATTAAATTGAAGTTAATAGTTGGTAGGTTTAAAATATTTTTAGTAACAAGTGAAGATATAAAAATAATACTATAAAAGTAAACTTACAGTCAATAAATGACAATCATATAATTGAATATAAAAGAAAAAAAAATTTATAAATACAGGGTATTTTAAGACTTAAGAGCTTTGTAATATACTGTAACATATATTTTGAAAGAAACATTTTTCAAAAAATATTAGGATAGTTATTTTAAATTCAACCCTATTATTATTACTATTAAACACACACAATTTTACAAAGAAATAAAGGTCGCTGGACAAATATCTCTAGAACTTATTCGTCTGGTCGCCGGACATGTAGACACTTTGTAAAATTAATGATTCATTTACCCTAAGTCTAACTATTAGTAATAGTAGCAGACCAACTACTACTACTAGTGAGCCTAATAAATAATATATATAAGAATGAGCTAGGCTGACCGTAACGCCAAAGAACTGAAAAGATTTAAATACGTTCGGATTCTAAAAAACGATCATAGTTATTTCCTATTATTTTACGGAAATCGAATAAATTTAATTGCGCAAAAAATATTATATAGCCTCCTTTATTTTAGTAAAAGTTTAAGTATTATTATTATAAATTAAAAATACATTTAAAATATGAACTAAGGGGAGAGTCTTTAAGCATTTTATATGCCATTTTAGGCGTTTGAAAGTTATGGAAAAAAAAAATTAAACAAAAATTTACGAATTACCGTACAATGTAATCACATTTATCTGGAAAACCCAAAAATCAGTTGTTTTTAGTGCCTTGTTAATATTGCGAAATAAAATTCAAATTCATTTGTTTTTAAATAAATACGCAAATAACATCATAGCGCGAATCGCCTATTTTAGCCAAACCTCTTAAGTTTCTTTGATTTAATAACCGCATGTTACAAAACTGATAATGTATTTTCCCCTTCTTAAAAGTAAAATTAATAAATATAATTGATTGCTTTTTAAATTGTTAATAAAACACACAAAAATTTTAGCTTTGTATTTTAAACATTTAATAAGTTTTTACTTTTTTTAATTCCAAAAATATACTTTTATTAAATTTATAACGTAATAAAAACTTGACCATTAAATATACTTCTAATAAGAAAATTCCGTTTAAGTGAATCAGTGCAGCAAAACTCCATAGCCAAATAGCATACACTAATCTATTTATAACTCATCCAAATTTTTTTTAAAGGGGGGGGGGGGGGGGGGGGGGAGTTAATTTTTGCCCAAGGCAGCACAAGATAGGTCTCAATATAAATAAATGAATTTGATAAATAATTAACTTTCTTGGGTACATACATATCGGAAGTAGGAAACAGGATGTGTATATTTTTATGTGGATGACAATATATTTAAATCCTATGGTACTACATTTGTGAAAAAAAGAGATGTTACATTCTCTTTTTACAAATAAACATATGTTTACCATTTAAGAAAATCAATGGCATTAACAAAACGTGGGTACATTTATATAAGCATAGACTACCCATGAATATTAAAACCCAATCATTTTACACACTTGAAAATTTATTTAAGAAAAATGGAGAATGAAAATATATATTTGTATTTACTTTGCGAAAAGTAAAGTGGTTGTGTATTTTTATGACTTATGAGATTAAAAATGACTCAACTCTGTTATAGACAAGAAAAACGGTTGCGAGATTCTTCTTTAGATAAAAGAATTTTTCGTTTTTTTATTTTATGATAGTTAAAAAAACAAGGCAAAAGTTTGTTTAAAATTTTGATGAAGATATCAATATATCAAATTCCTTTAATATAAAATATATTTATATCATATGTAGAGTTCCTTTTGTAAATTTAAGATTATGTTTTCACAAATTTTAGGAGAAAAAAAGTTGTAGTAAAGGTTACAAAAAGGGGTAAGTCTAATGTACTTCTAGGGCATAGAAATCGTCCCTCAATTAACTTCTTTAGTGACATCTGGGTGGGGAGGGGTTGGTCACTTTGCCCCAGGCAGCACAAGATACGTCTCAAAATAGATAAATGAATTTGATAAATAATTAGCCTTCTTGGGTAAATACATATCGGATGTAGGAAAAAGAATGTGTACATTTTTACGTGGATGACAATATATTTAAATCCTATAGTATAACATTTGTGAAAAAAGAGATGTTACATTATCTTTTTACAAATAAACATATGCTTAACAACTAAGAAAATCAATGGCGTTAACAAATCGAGGTTACATTTATTAAAATTTATATATAAGTATTATAAGTAGACCCATGAATATCAAAACCCAATCATTTTACACACTTGAAAAGTAGAGATGGGTTAGTATTTACTTTCAAAAAATGAAAATATTTTTTGTTTTTACTTTGCAAAAAGTAAAGAGGTGTGTCTATCTCAAAATTATCAAACTTTGACCAAATCAAATCATTGATTTTGATTATTTAATTGATTGTCATTGACACATCGAACGTGTGACCGTGTGATCTGCCTTTCACTCTTCAGACCTTCAAACTAAAAAGAAAATAATGTCTATTAAGTCTATTTATTTATAAATAATAATTTATAAACAATTGAAAGTGGCATATTACATCAAATAACATAATAAATGAATCTGCCATTCCACTTTTAAATATGAACTACGATGTCAGTGTTGTATCGTAAGTTAAGACGTAACCAGACAACAAGCGTGAATAGTGCAGCCATTAAATGGTTTCACTGTCACTAATGTCAGTTCTGTTTACATGATCGTCGGGAGCGATTCAGGGCTAAAAATAGTTACAATCTAATTTTGGAAGACATTAAAAATTTTTTTTATTAAAAACTCATACTAAAAATTAAGAAAAACGAATTATAATTTACCCTTCTTAAATAAATGTTTAGTATGTAGATATTAATATAATATATCCAGAGTATTTTATTTTTTAAAAATAATTATATTATTTTATTACCAATCGCAGATTTATACGAGTGATAAAGCCACATGCTGATGATATATTATATACCAACCATGCCCATGCCCTTGGGCTTTTTGGGGCCCATGACATGATAATGTACGCCTTTTAGTATTTTTAGATGCACAGCTTCATAGTATTGATATTTTTTATGTAAGTGCATTGCAGTATTTACTATTTTGTTGGCAGATAATAGGGGTCCTCATAGCAAGATCCAGCCCACCCGGAGGTCCTTAAACCTGACACGAAATAGTGTAAGCCAGGTTTTGACGCTAGGGGCAGAGACTGTTTATTTTAGGCAAAAGGCCCACACACCGAAATAATTACTGCAACAAATAAAATTATTTTGTATTTGAAATACGTTGAAACACTGCACGTGGAGAACAATATATTATGTATTATAATACTGTCGCTTTGTCCTGGAAAAAGGGCGGGGAAAACAGAAATCAAGAAGTCGAGCGAAATGTGGAAGGCGTTAAGGGAGGGGCTATTCCAAATGCGGGGAATTCAGTTTTCCTTATTCTACACTTAATCTGAGAACAACAGAAGAGAATTATGCTAGTGAACATTTAGGTTAACCTTCGCCTGGATATGATTATAAAATCTTTTATTTTTAGCTGTTACCAATTAGTGATTTCGTTTTAATTTTTGTATTTAAAATATTTTTTTTTTTCAAACTACTTCATTAATAAAGAAAATGTTTAATAAAAAAACAATCCAATTAAAAAATTTAATTTATTCTGTTATTTTGCCCTCCTCCACACGACCCCAGATACAAGAATGACAAGATGTGTGGGGTGACTCCATTGTTGAATCTCCGCGATATTTTGCGCTTCAACAAGCAGGTCATGATAAAACGTTTAACGATGGGTGACTAAGTGACTAAGTGGCTTATCTTATTGAAATCAAAACCGTCCCGTAGTGCACACCATTTATTATTATTTTTTTTTAACTATGATATTCCCAATTAGACTCTACACTTATTTTTTTTTTTTTAAAGTCAAATAAACAAAACAAAAAAAAAATAATCTTTTTTTTTTTTTCTTTTTTTTTAAATTTTAACTAACGGGTATAAACGGCCTTATCCACTAACCAAGAATGTGTGTTGTAAATCACCGAAGTTGGACTCTGTCATAAAATTCGTTGTAACTTCATTAGAGCTCTAACATTAAACAACATTAAGTTTTGGGGAATTTCTAACTGAGCTAATTTTATCTTATTAAGATATTCTGTAACCACACAGAAGTCCGAGGACTGAGTCGAGGGAGAGTCTTGATAAGTTCTTATGACACCTCCACAGGTTTCTGCTACGCTTTCAAAAACACAAGTAAGTTCACAGCACAAATACGGGTATGCAGAATGAAATGACACCCTGCCTTTCAGATGTAGCAGGGCTACGCAGCAATTCAAAGTGCCACCTCTAAGAAAGGGAAAGCCAGTCCGTGTTAAGCATTCACATAAGAACCATTTCAAGAAAAATTAGACCTTCTCATCAAACACACGAAGGAGAAAAACTTCTACCATCTCCCCCAAACTTAAAACCTAACAGTTGCACCACAATATATATATATTCATCGGGAAGTAGGGCGGAAATTGAGGGCGCCGATTAATCATGATCGGTGGAGGGGTTTGGGGGAGCCTACTCCCCAGAAAATTGTGGATTATTTCAAAATCAACTGGTGTATTTTTTAATATTCTTGAATTCAATGTTTCTATGGTACTTTTGGAACGGGGAAGACATCTTTAAGGTTTTGTGGGTGCCATACATGAATTGAATTCACTCCGTTTGTGGCGTGCCCCGAGTAAGCATTTGTCACAAGCTTATAATTAACCCCGTACCGCACCATTCATCAGCGTGAGTGACGTTGTTACAGAAATTTAGGGTGCTAAAGACAATCGGGTCAACTTAAAACGCTGGGGTGCATTTTGGCGCATACCTGAATTGGTTGTTTCTTTCAGACAATTTTAAGGTTGCATTTCAAACTTTCGGGTGGGAAGTGCCAAAATTAGCGATAATCATGATCAAAGACATCTTCAATTCCGCACCAGTGGGGCGTAAACGAATTTCATTCTAGTTGTGTTCCCCCTTAAAGGTACGCTTTTTGCCTAGGTTTTTTCTCACAGCTTAAATCTTTATAGTCCCCAGAAAGTTTTGCTAAATTAAAAATAAAAGAATGCATTTTATCACATATCTGAATTTAGTTTTGCAACTACACTTAATTGGAGAGCAACGGAAGATATCTTCGTTAAAAAATGTAGGTGTCACTTAACTTTAGAACCATCATGTGCCCCCAGCAACCCCTACGATGCAGTATTCCTCGGATATTTTAGGGGATTAAAGATGCGATGTGGATATTTTCTTAATTAACATCTCTCAATGCAGGTTGAAAAAAAAAAGGGGGGGGGGTTTGCAAAACGAAAAAGTGCTTGACATGTTTGTGTTCTGCAAAATAAAATATATACTACTAAAAATAGTAACATTGCTTTTATTTTTTATTTACACTATTTTGGGGGAGAGCTACCTACTAAATGAATTTTTAACACACACAATAATAATAAAATGGTTTCCATCACTAAAATCATTCCAAACATTATTTTATATGCTGAACGCAAATGGAAAAAAAACAAAAACATCTTACTTATAATAATTAGACTATCTTTTCAAAAATATTTCCAAATGTTACCAGAATCAAAAATAAAAAAAATAAAAAAGAACTGTTAATTAGTAAGGTCTATACATTTTTATGTGTTTTGAAGAATTGTCATTTTTAAAAACAGTATATGAACGGTATAACTATTTTCCGAAGACGTGAGTTGTTTCCAAAAGACTTTAAATATTTATTATAATTTATGTGCGATTTTATCTAAGGGAAATCGTATTCATTTGAAGCATATATTTCCCATTATTCAGCTGATTGAAATGTTTCTTTGTAATTTCATAATACTATAACTTTTTTTTAAAAGATAAATTTCAAAGTTCTTTTTTTTTTTTTTTTAATGAAATCAACAGAATTTATTTTAAATTGAAAAAATTAGGAGTAAGATTTTTTTTTCTAAAAATAGTACCAACAATTTTTTTTTTTATATCTACAATTGACATGATCATGGAAATGCTAGTTCACAAAAAGTCTTTTTTAATTTGTTTTGTTTTGTTTAATTTTCAGATAGAACTCTATCTAGAATTATTTTTTTTTGAGTTGAGTTTAAACCATAGTTTGAAAATGAGTCATGTGTGTCCCGTGTGTGGGAAAGATATAGTCAGTTAAAAGAAATCAGTTATCTTCTTTAGAGAGAGAGAGAGAGAGAGAGGAAGAGAGAGAGAGAGAGAGAGAGAGAGAGAGAGAGAGAGAGAGAGAGAGAGAGAGAGAGAGTTCTTGGTTTGAAACCAAGGCAAAACCTTCCGTTACTTTGTCTCTGGTTATTATTCCTATGACTAAGCCTATACATATTTCTATATATCTATACCTGTAACTAACTAAACATATACACCTGTAGAGGCACAGAGGCACATTAATAACAGATTTTTAGATGACAGTTGGGTCTATAGAGACATTCAGGATATTATTTTAGTTATTATGCATAATGTGATAGACCTACATTCTGTTGACCCCACCTCCCCCTTTTTCCACGCTGTCATTATGAATAGTCTAACTGCGTACGTAATGGGTGTGTTAGAAATATGAAAATATGTTGTTTTTTTGGGGTATGTTTTATATGGGTGTCGGATTGTCTACTCTGACATTAAAATTCGACTACATTGGTGGACGTAATGTTATCATCCACGTGGAATCGGCGCTCTTTTTTCAAGACGAATTTTAAAAAAAAATACTCCTCACTGCAGCGTCAGATTTTAAAATATTCTAAAAGATCAAACAAGCGGCATTTGAAATCCATTTTAGAAGTCACTAACCAGCTGTACAATTTTATTACCCCAGTTTTGTTCCACCTTTTCTCTTCCCTTCTCCAAATACATCTTGTGGTAGTTTTAGACAATATGTTCAAGGGAAAATAAAATAAGGCGCCTTGGCTTAATGTAAGGGTGGGCAAGCCTCGGCCCGCCATGCTAAGTGATGTGGCCCGCCGGATGAATCCGAAATGAACATTTTTTCTTCATTCTAATAGCGATTATTTAAATTTTTGGCACAAAAGCACATTTCTTTTATTTCAATCCATCTTTTTTGTGTAGACGATACGCGCCATTTCGGTGTACCCGCCCCAAGTTTGGACTGTGAAGGATTCAAGGAGAAAAACCAGTGATGTCAGTTTTTTCAAAAATGTGTATGTTACTTCCCCTGTGTCTATATTCCATTCAATAGAATAATATGGCACTTAGGCCTAACTGAAACAGCAGCGTAACCAATAAATAAATATTTAGACATCTTGACATTTTTATACTTGCATGAGGAATTTTAAAACTTAATTATTATTTTTTCTAAAAACTCGCAAAATCTGACATCTCTTGTTTTTCCCTTGAACCTTGAAAATAGATCGAATTACGTAACAATGTTCCCTTTACGCTGCGCGACTACGCAGCTATCTCACATACGCCGCGCAGCAGTTTTGAGTATCCGCGCAGCAAATTTCCATGTAAGTGTTTGTTTGTGTTTGTGGGCTGTACAATTTTGCACACACAAAAATTGATACTGTAAAACTTTGCACACAACTGTATGATTTTCCGCACAACTGCATGATTTTGCACACGAACCAGCAAACCCACAGGGAACATTGATACGTAATACATGTTTTTTTTTTTAAAAAGTAGTATTTATTAACTACTGAAATACAAAAGATTTATGTAAACAAAACGATGGTAAGGGGAAGCTAGTTTTTCACAAGCATTTCGATTACGTCTAGAATGATGCAAAAATTTCCGCTCCCCCCCCCCCACCACCACACCGGAAGACACATCACATACTAAACATGAGGAATACAAATGAAACCATTTTAAATAATTATTTCATCTTTTGAAATAACTCTTTTAGGCTTAAGACTTGACAAAATTATGCCTTTCTTATCTCCCCTGTACCAGTTGCTTTTTGTGGCGATCTGTAGTATGGAGAAATTACGGATGTTGATGTCGTTTTGTTTTGGACAAACCGGTTACCGTATATAGGTCAGGTTTTAAACCGGTTATCGGTTTGTTCAATGCATTCCCAGCATTAAGTTCAGATCGACATATATTAGATTCTACAATATGGTAAGCGGCAGATGGAAATTATCTTTTGGAAACAATAAAATCAAGTCTCATTTTCATAATTTATTGGTGTCAGCACTTGACCTATGTTACACTCAGTTACCTCATTGCGGCAATACGATCTGCTATCTGCACTTATGCAAACTTGTTAATTGATATCTTAAACACACAGGTTCCTAACATTTGAGCCACGGAACCCTTTGGGTAAGAGCGTCTCTTGGACTGCATTTCGTTCTAATTTTATCATATCCTGGAATTCCGGTTAACGTTGTACCAATGAGGGAATTAAAGATGGAAAAGTAAATAAGGGTAAAATAGATGGGATATTTACACTTTTAAGCCCTGTCTGATTTTAAAACTGACCACCAACGTCTTAGTTTTAGTCGTGACCACCAGTTGTATTTCTCCCCAACATCCTGTATATTCATTATTGATGCTGCAATATTTGTGCGTTGTCCCCTCAAAGGTTAAGTAGGGCCTAGGCATATTATTCTTGCACAGTCAAGTTTTTTTTTACATATATATATATATATATATAATTTAAGAAAAAAAGTAGAATGGTAAAAGGTAAATTGATTTTTAATTATAAAAACAACAACAACAACAAACAAACAAAACAAAACAAGAAAAATAAATAAAAAAATTGATGATACGGACCGTAACACTAAATTTTAGCGTTTCGCCTACACTGCCATATGTTTTTTCTGTATTCAGCCAACAGTCAAGGGCTGTAGATCTTGTACAGGTACAAGATTTTCCGATACTCTGTAAGTTGATGATTTGTAATTATATTTCTTTTGTTTTTTAATTGTATTATCACTAAATTAAATCTTATTAATAGTAATTGGAAACTGTTTTTGCGTGTCGTATCTTTATTATCGTAAATTTATGGTATCGTCCTTTGTTAGGCACTGTTTGAACGAGTCATAGAATTAAAAATAAGAGATTAATTTCTCATAATAGAAGGCAGTGCGTAACATTGGGTTTGGCCTTCGCTGTCAGATGTGATGTCTGTAGTCAGCCAACAGTCAGGGTCTGCCTACATGTTGGGTTTTGCCTTCGCTGCCAGATGTGATGTCTATAGTCAGCCAACAGTCAGGGTCTGCCTACATGTTGGGTTTTGTTAATTGCTATAAGGATAGTGTTTAATGTAATAAATATATCTACGTTTATCTAAGTTTATCTTTGTTTATCTATGTTTATCTATGTATACCCGGCGTTGTTCCTGTTTCTATGAGTAGTGTCAGTGCGGCTTTGGCCGTTTGTATTATTTAGCATTCCATAAATAACTGTGGCTCTGTTTCCTTCGAGATGTGTCCACAGAGGAGATCGCTGTCTTTGAATGACATGATGCTCAAGTCAGGCGCAAGTTCGATAACAGCGCTGTTTCTGTACATTGTAAGTTGGCAATGGACTACAGCCTGCCCGTCCAAAGCTTTGCATGCAAAGCTGCATTGGAAAAGTTGGGCCGAATCCAGAATCAGGCCTTGAGATTCATCTGTCCTGCATTCAAAACTACAATCACGCCTGCTGTAGAAGTGCGAGTCCCTGAACGTAGAAGGGACAAAGCTATTTAAGTACTGTAGAAGTCTTGTCCAATGTTGAACTACTAAAAATAAGAAGGGACAAAGCTATTTAAGTACTGTAGAAGTCTTGTCCAATGTTGAACTACTAAAAATAAGAAGGGACAAAGCTATTTAAGTACTGTAGAAGTCTTGTCCAATGTTGAACTACTAAAAATAAGAAGGGACAAAGCTATTTAAGTACTGTAGAAGTCTTGTCCAATGTTGAACTACTAAAAATAAGAAGGGACAAAGCTATTTAAGTACTGTAGAAGTCTTGTCCAATGTTGAACTACTAAAAATAAGAAGGGACAAAGCTATTTAAGTACTGTAGAAGTCTTGTCCAATGTTGAGCTACTAAAAATAAGAAGGGACAAAGCTATTTAAGTACTGTAGAAGTCTTGTCCAATGTTGAACTACTAAAAATAAGAAGGGACAAAGCTATTTAAGTACTGTAGAAGTCTTGTCCAATGTTGAGCTACTAAAAATAAGAAGGGACAAAGCTATTTAAGTACTGTAGAAGTCTTGGCCAATGTTGAACTACTAAAAATAAGAAGGGACAAGGCTATTTAAGTACTGTAGAAGTCTTGTCCAATGTTGAACTACTAAAAATAAGAAGGGACAAAGCTATTTAAGTACTGTAGAAGTCTTGTCCAATGTTGAACTACTAAAAATAAGAAGGGACAAAGCTATTTAAGTACTGTAGAAGTCTTGTCCAATGTTGAGCTACTAAAAATAAGAAGGGACAAAGCTATTTAAGTACTGTAGAAGTCTTGGCCAATGTTGAACTACTAAAAATAAGAAGGGACAAGGCTATTTAAGTACTGTAGAAGTCTTGTCCAATGTTGAACTACTAAAAATAAGAAGGGACAAATCTATTTAAGTACTGTAGAAGTCTTGGCCAATGTTGAACTACTAAAAATAAGAAGGGACAAAGCTATTTAAGTACTGTAGAAGTCTTGTCCAATGTTGAACTACTAAAAATAAGAAGGGACAAGGCTATTTAAGTACTGTAGAAGTCTTGTCCAATGTTGAGCTACTAAAAATAAGAAGGGACAAAGCTATTTAAGTACTGTAGAAGTCTTGTCCAATGTTGAACTACTAAAAATAAGAAGAGACAAGGCTATTTAAGTACTGTAGAAGTCTTGTCCACTGTTGAACTACTAAAAATAAGAAGGGACATGGCTATTTAAGTACTGTAGAAGTCTTGTCCAATGTTGAACTACTAAAAATAAGAAGAGACAAGGCTATTTAAGTACTGTAGAAGTCTTGTCCAATGTTGAACTACTAAAAATAAGAAAGGACAAGGCTATTTAAGTACTGTAGAAGTCTTGTCCAATGTTGAACTACTAAAAATAAGAAGGGACAAGGCTATTTAAGTACTGTAGAAGTCTTGTCCAATGTTGAACTACTAAAAATAAGAAGGGACAAGGCTATTTAAGTACTGTAGAAGTCTTGTCCAATGTTGAACTACTAAAAATAAGAAAGGACAAGGCTATTTAAGTACTGTAGAAGTCTTGTCCAATGTTGAACTACTAAAAATAAGAAGGGACAAGGCTATTTAAGTACTGTAGAAGTCTTGTCCAATGTTGAGCTACTAAAAATAAGAAGGGACAAAGCTATTTAAGTACTGTAGAAGTCTTGTCCAATGTTGAACTACTAAAAATAAGAAGGGACAAGGCTATTTAAGTACTGTAGAAATCTTGGCCAATGTTGAACTACTAAAAATAAGAAGGGACAAGGCTATTTAAGTACTGTAGAAGTCTTGTCCAATGTTGAACTACTAAAAATAAGAAAGGACAAGGCTATTTAAGTGCTGTAGAAGTCTTGGCCAATGTTGAGCTACTAAAAATAAGAAGGGACAAGGCTATTTAAGTACTGTAGAAGTCTTGGCCAATGTTGAACTACTAAAAATAAGAAGGGACAAGGCTATTTAAGTACTGTAGAAGTCTTGGCCAATGTTGATCCCGACTTCTCAACAAGAAAAAAGAATAAGGACTGACAGACTGACAGTGACAGTCAAAAACATAAAATGGATGAATATCGATTTGAGGACACTTTTTCCCCCCTCTAATTTATCGAATAACCATTGGGCACTCAATTCTTTAAAAAATAAAATATAATCTAAGATATACATACAATATGCAAATAAAAACACAAAAATTTAATACAGTTAAAAACTGAACATTTTTGTGAAACATATATTTTTTTTTATTCCTTAGATGGTGGCACCAAATAGTTTATCATTTATTTATTTTTACACGTAAGTAGCTCATCATGACAGATCGCGGGACTTCTGAAAATAAAACACAATTATTCGTGTTTAATTTATTAGATGAATTTAAATACAGTCGAACCCGGTTATGTCGACGGCCTCGGGGTTTGCCAAAAAGTGTCGAGATAACCGATGATCGAGATAAACGAAAACAAATGTGGTGACAATATATTAACATGGGCTTGAAATTTCTTTACGTACACGATGTGCATTAATAAATAAGAATGTACATGCACGTGTTTTTGGAGGTTTTTATTTTACACAACAGCGTTACAGCGGGCGATTTGTTTGCTGAAGCGAAAATGTATGAAAAGGTACATACATGTGTGCTAACAACACAAGGGATATGTGGGTTGAAACATTTCCGGATCATCCCGTAATTCCGGATTCGCGAGTCTAAATATTTGTCAGCTCCGGATTCTCGAGTTTTTATTTTCTGTCGCTCCGAATTCGCCACTTCAGTTTATTCAATACAGATTCTGTTTTTTTTGTTGTTTTTTTTAAATAAAAAAATCAACATGTAAGAACGTGTGAAAGCCTATTAACCGACAAGCGGGTTCGCTATATTAACAGAACATGTACTACGACCTCTCTCTTTTGTTTGCAAGCTTGTAGCTCTTCGCTTCTTGCTGTGTCAAGTTAATTGCGTGGATAACGAGATTGTCATTTCATTTCCGAGGTCGAGATAAGTGGGTTCGAATGTAAGATGAACTAAATGGTAAATACTTTGGAAAACAATTTATTTCTCAAGGATAATGCTTATACCAGTTGGACTTTCTACTGCCAAAATCTGGCCAGTGGCACCGAGAGGAGAACAAAGGGGGAATAACAACATAATAATTAATCAAATAAACTGTCTGGAATAAATAACAGTAACCCACGATAAAGTGTGAGACTTAAGAGTCATGTTTGTTAGACAAAATTTGACTTTTGCTTCAGAGAGTTGCTATATATTTCTATGTAATGTAATGCTTCTTCTTGAGTGTGGCTACTTTGTTGCCTATTTCCTGACTTGTTGGCTTTCGATTTAAAAAAATACATTAATAACTTATCCATTCTTTATGTTATTCAAGCAGAACAAGGAGTCTAACCTAGCCTGAACCCTAAATCTATTCCTAATGGCACCCATTCTCAGCATTAGCTAAAAAATATTTTAAGTATATTTTTTACTGTAAAACAACCTTACAACAGTATGGCGATTCGCCATGGACGTCCGTGCGATATACTGCAATACTATCCCTGACATTCTCCGGAAGCAGATTATAGCCAATCACAGGACAACGGTTGTAGTCACATGATTCACATTCCTCACGCGCCAGCCTCTCGTGGGACGGGCAGCGACGCGTAGGCAGAGTGCAGTTGTTGTTTATGGAGTATGTAAATATGTGTGTCGCCCGCATATGAGAGCAAGCAACAGCTGTTTGCACCGAAGCACCTCTGAGACCTGTAAACACACACGGTTGAATCACATAACTCACACAACCGGGTGGCCAGTAAATAAGCTTAGTACTTTTTTAAAGCCTGTCAGAATCTTAAGTGTAACAAATTCTATTCAGGTTCTATTTCTTATATTATTTCCCCGTGGCTGTCCACAAGAATTAAGCCAGTCTAACTTTCACTGAAATTAGTAGCCTACTGTAAGAATCAAGTCTAAAAATGTATTCTTTTTAAATCTAGGGGGTAAAAAATCCTTTCCTCTATCGAACCTCTTTGTGTCTGTCTTGTCCCAGAAAGTAAACTTTAAGGTTTCCATGGCAACTTACTATTTGGACTTTGTAAAAGGAACATATTAAAGTTGCTGCCATTTGCTCGTGAAATAATGATAAAACTTGAAATAAAGTCTAATTCCATAGACAGCTAAAAAAGTTATCAGATCTCAAAATATAAAACTATTTGTTTGATTAAGGGTCTTCTTAAAGGTGATGACACGACGCACCATTGGCCCATCTATAATTAATTCAGGGACAAAGGTCATGGCGTGTGGTGAGTTACGGCACATTGGAAAAATGTGACGTCACATCAAAGCGTAAATAAATAAATAGATAAAAAATAATCATAAATTAAAAACCGGTAACATACCTAAGGGGCCGTCCAAAAAGTAGGTCACGCTCCAAAAAAGGGGAGGGGGGGAGGGGTGTAAGAAAGGGTGACAGTTGGGGGAAAGGGCGGGGGGGAAATAATCATAAATTAAAAACCGGTAACATACCTAAGGGGCCGTCCAAAAAGTAGGTCACGCTCCAAAAAAGGGGAGGGGGGGAGGGGTGTAAGAAAGGGTGACAGTTGGGGGAAAAGGGGGGGGGGGTCAGGCCATGTGTGACGTCACACATTAATGTTTTAAAATTTTATTCCTAAATTATTTTTATTTTTAAAGTAGAATTTAATAGCTTTAAAAATAATGTTCAAAAATTTGGTGAAACATTTGAATTAGTTTTATGTCAATATAGCATGAAATGTGTATCTCCTGAATGTTTTGTTCACGATTCCTCTCGCCAGGAGCGCTAGTAACTATTTTACTATTAAAATCATTTTAAAACGTGATAGTTATTTTAAGTGGAAATCTTATATTTTAATACAGTTTAATAGTGATGTGTTTTAGAATAAATATTAATTAGGTACTAATTAAAAAAAAAATTGTTCGAAACTGTGACGTACTTTAGGGGGGGGGGGGTTGCGAGATTTGTGACAGGGGGAGAAGGGGGGGGGTAAATAGTAAAAAATAACGTAACGTACTTTATGGACGGCCCTTAATTTTTAATATTAATGTATATATATAGTAAGAGAGCAGAGAAGCTAGAATGTAAATAAAACTATAATGACATGACTAAAAGCGAATTATAGACATTTTTTTTATGTACAGTTTTTGTTTTGGTCTTTGGTTTTTAAATTTGTTTAATTCATCTTTTTGTTTTTTTTGTTTTTTTACTCTATGAGATCATATGTTTAATAAATTAGGTTGGCCTACATTGTCAACTAAAAATAGCGAAATTGTACGTAATGGGAAAGTGTAATAAATGATGTGACGTCATTTAAGGAATACCCCCCACCCCCCACCCCACCTAAAATCGGTCTATAGTTCTGTTCCTTTTTTTTTTTACCACGAGAGAGACCTAATGTTTCAAACATGGCGGACAATCTGTCAACAACACGGTTTGGGCACGCTGGCTGATGCATCCCGCCGTTTGGGTAGAAATCCACCGTTCCCATTGGTTCCAGGGTCCCTGAAATAAGTCAGTACATCATTGAATCGGTCAGCTGGAGCTGTAAGGCTAATAAAGTTACAGTAGATGCATCATTTTTTTTTTTTTAAACATGAAACTATTTCCTATCTACGACCATACTAACAGGATCGTTTGAGAAACAAACTCTTCTGTTGAAAATTTATATGACGATTGGTTCACAGAAAATTATTTCCCCGGATTAACAAATGATATTATATACTCTATGCGCAACACAACAACATCAAACTAACAGAACAGAAACTCCCGAATCGACGGTTTACTGGTGTTTCTGTCAACGGTGCATAACTCCAGCTGCCACGTGTTCCCGATAGTGAAAAATATAGATATTGTTAGGCAGTTATTTTGTGGATTGTGTCTCTCAGTGGAGAAAAGGTCAGTCGTCGCCGAGCATTATTTGCGCTCATACGTATATGGGAATGTATAGGGTGAACGTGTTCGAATAAACGTGGCAGAAAAAATTCATTGAGAGCTTGAAAAAAAAAAAAAAGTAGCATAGCTTTGGAAAAAGCTACTCTGTCAACGGAAGGGAAAGTCCAGGATCGACCAGTAAGTGAATGTGACTTTCGTAGGAGAGCCACACAATCATATACAGATCTGGATCCTGGTGAACCATAGCCAGAAATGTTCACAATGCATCACTCTGGCTGGAACATTTGGCTCTGTGAAGAGTTGTCCAACCTGAATAGACTACGAAAATGCACCTATGTCCTTAACTGGTGAAAGGGCGCATTAAATATATTCAGTTTAAAAGATGTTCAGTTTAAAAGATGTTCAGTTTGAAAGATGTTCAGTTTGAAAGATATTCAGTTTGAAAGATATTCAGTTTGAAAGATATTCAGTTTGAAAGATGTTCAGTTTGAAAGATGTTCAGTTTGAAAGATGTTCAGTTTGAAAGATGTTCAGTTTGAAAGATGTTCAGTTTGAAAGATGTTCAGTTTGAAAGATGTTCAGTTTGAAAGATGCCCCCTCCCCCCTTGCCCCTACCTGCGGGCGCCCATAGCGGGATTCAAATCATAAAGCTTACCGGTGGGCCAGACTTCCTGTCCGCTGAAACAATACACTTGTACACAATACACGTGTACATGTCACAAATCTAATATTTAGATATCAATTTTTTTCGTAAAAATAATGTATTGTTTTTGTTAAATAAAAATAACAGGAAGTGAAGGAATGATGGGATAGAGTTTTAAAGGTCATGAGTGTTGTTCTGCAAGGATTCCTTTATTTGGCACTGGCCATGTTCATTTTAGTTATTATTAGCATCTTAATGCTCATTTTGTGAAACAGAAGAAGTTGTATGAAGGATTATATTTTACTCTGATCCATAGAGATATTGTTTAATTGTGTGTCCGTTCATCAATCAATAAGAGTCGGGATGCTAATTCCTCTGGTACTTATTTGGATAAACATGGTGAACGCATGTAAAATGTGGATGCACAGTATAGTATAAATGATAATTACAACCCTACAAGTAACAACAACAACATAACACATACAATACACTTCAAGAACTGAGAAATTTAAAAACAATAGACGGCACTGTTACTTGGTGCTGTCTTATTAAATCTTTATAAGAACTGTCCTGCCACCATTTGTTCCAACACGCCCCCCCCCAGACACGATCTCTTAATCACATACGCATGGGCGAAACACATACTCAACTGTAATACCCTGTCCTCCATTAGAGACCCATTGACACCAACTGCCCGTCACATCATCATTTTCACTGCTGAGGAACACGTGGCGGCCTGAGCTACGCAGCGTTGACAAAACCACGTACGCGTTAACAATGCGGGAGTATAATAGTGCAGTCAGTTTTGGCGAATACTCTACAATAAAATCTTATACTTAGGTGGTTGATATTTTAGGATCTTATTATACGAAAACTCAAATCAAAAGGTGAAGGAAAAAAAAGGCCCCTCGTGCCAGGGTCTAGTCTCAATATATCATTATCAGACTTTGACTAAATTATCCACGAACAGCTAGGATCATTTTTTTACCCATGCCAATGCCCGGGGCACCGTCAGTGTGAATGACATCCACAAATATGGCATCAGTGGGGTCCAGTCTTGTTTCAGGTGGGGTTCCTTCAAAACTTGGACCAGCAGGGTCAAGACCTGTGATTTAATTTGGGGTAGGGGGTTGGGAGATAAAACATGACCTGTGATGTGGGATTAAAACATGACCTGTGATGTGGGATTAAAACATGACCTGTGATGTGGGATTAAAATATGACCTGTAATGTGGGATTAAAACATGACCTGTGATGTGGGATTAAAACATGACCTGTGATGTGGGATTAAAACATGACCTGTGATGTGGGATTAAAACATGACCTGTGATGTGGGATTAAAACATGACCTGTGATGTGGGATTAAAACATGACCTGTGATGTGGGATTAAAACATGACCTGTGATGTGGGATTAAAACATGACCTGTGATAATGACCTGTGAAGTGGGATTAAAACATGACCTGTGATGTGGGATTAAAACATGACCTGTGATGTGGGATTAAAACATGACCTGTGAAGTGGGATTAAAACATGACCTGTGATGTGGGATTAAAACATGACCTGTGATGTGGGATTAAAACATGACCTGTGAAGTGGGATTAAAACATGACCTGTGATGTGGGATTAAAACATGACCTGTGATGTGGGATTAAAACATGACCTGTGAAGTGGGATTAAAACATGACCTGTGATGTGGGATTAAAACATAACCTGTGATGTGGGATTAAACAAACTTTTTATGGAGAGATGAACAAAAAAAAATATCATAACTGAATTGATGAATATAACAGAAATATGAAACCCCACTGAGTTAGCTATATATTATAATTTAAATATAATTTACAGTAACTATGTGGGTCAAAAAATATATTATAACTATAATAATATCTTAGTAATAGACAAGAGAAAAAACACTCTAAAAATACGTAACTAGTAAAAAGTTAGTAATGTACAAGACGAGGGAAATATTTTAATACAAGCTGGGACAATGCAACCGTAGTGGCGTGTATAATTTGCGGACAGAGATGCATAATCTATACCCTAATAATAATTCCAGATGGCGCTCCATATATCCACCAAGTTTAGTTGTATACTGTACAGACGGTCATTTGCCTTTATTTTCGGTATGGTTTGTAAGTTGTCGATGTGAGTAACGAATGTATTCTTTTGTGCGCAATTGGTGCGGAAGACGGGGGAAGCAGCGAAAGCGAGCGCATCACGGTGCGCAATGAGTGCGGGCGGACAAGATCAACTTGGGAAGTCTATTTTAATATGCCTTTTAAAAATACAGTACTAGTGTACTTACAAATCTAAGTGTGATTTGGGAAGCGTTACAAGCTTTAAGTTGTGGTCCATATTCAAAATATATTAATTCTGTTTGCCTTTGGCAAAGGCCTGAGGCTTATGAAAAGCTGAACAATCCTATACTGAATTCCATCTGGCGACAGAGGTAAACACGGCGCGGATATGGCTAACCTCTTGCAAGAACTGCGTATAACTTAAAGATGACTGCCTGCTAAGTATCAACTTTTAATTCGATTACACAATTCTTTGTCCCACGCCAAGCGCCAGCTCCAGGGACTAGCTTTCGACTCACCTGTTATCCTCCCGATCCCGTTCACCTGACCCCCCGCGTAGCCAGCCACGTGTGCTCCGAGACTAAAGCCGATGAGGTGAACTAAACCAGGCTCTGAGCCCATGGACACCAGCTCCTGTGGATGAACACACGCCAGTGATTAGATTTTCAAGCAGTTAATTGTTACCCGTCTGATGTTGAAGGACTGTCACGTGTTCGACGGCAGCTCTTACCTCAGACAAATCTACGTGACAACAGTTTGCCCATCTACAATGTGACGGCTAAGTGGGTCGTCCACTTGTTCTTCTATAGAAATCGGCCATTTTTAACTTCTTTGACGTTAGAAAATCCATTTGGGGGTTTTTTTTTTGTTAAAAAAAAAAGATTTTGGAGATTTAGAGTCTACAACAAAAATTTTTTTAGGGCCTAGTTTTATTTCCAAAAAAACTTTGTTCTCTACGGAAATATTCTTTTCAAATGTTAGATATACATTGTTTATGCCACCAAGCCTTGATTAGATTTAAAAATTTACCAGCATTGTACATTTTGCCAGATTAGAGCATACTTATGCCCTCAAATCGAACTGTAAAAAAAAATAAAAAATTAAAAATCTATAATTAAGATTATGTATCATTATTTGCGTATAACAATTTTCCATTTTAAAAAATGTTAAAACAACACACTCACACCCAGACACACACACACACACAAAACAACAGGAGGCTGAGTCTTTTTCATTTTAATGGCACTTTATAATCAGCTTTTTTTGCTGTCTTCAAGAAAGTAATTAGCCTCAGAGGGGGGGGGGGGGGGGGGGGGTGCAGGGGATACATATGTCCCCGGGCGCCAAGGAACATGGGCGCCAAAAGAGGCGTAAAACGTTACATTATAATAAGTAAACCAGGGAAATAAATCGGTCAAAAGATCGGTACAGTGGCTCAGCAGACGTGCCGTCTGAAAGCCTACTTATTTTGTCACATTTGCGTGCGTCAATGGGACAGGATTGTCTGAGCGATCTTGCTCTTCTTGGCGTTGAAAGAGAAACAATTGTGGAAAAAAAAAAACAGATTTTGATTGCGTCATTGGGACAAGATTGTCTGAGCGCTCTTGCTCTTCTTAGCGTTGAAAGAGAAACATTGGGGGGAAAAAAAACAACCGATTTTGATTGCGTCATTGACCAGTAAGCGACAGTGACAACGAGAAAATTAATCTTTAGTAGACTATGTGAACCAGTCTACGACAGTGTTGGCATCCGTCCGTCACAATGTGACGATGGAGTGGGTTTCGGAGGACGAAATCCACATGGCCTGGGATTATACTTCAAGGATTATAAGCTGGTTCCCAACAGCAAATCGCCTTTCTCCACACCGCTGGGTAACCAGTGACGTCGCAGGAGTTGCCGGAATGTTTCATTGTATCAATGTTATCCGCCTTTCGGGACTCCATCTCCGGGTTTGATTTCAGGGTTTCCTTCTCTTAGATGAGTCGCCATCCAAGGTTGACGAGTCTCATCTACCCGCGGTGCTGGTGGTGTTATTGCTTGACTGGGCTCTGGCTGGAATTGAACTCCAGACCACCAACTTGAGATTTTGCTCAGTTTAGACCATTCGGCCTAAGTGACTGAGTGGGTAATGTACTATCATTTCTATCAATTTGCTTCTCTCAATACAATGTTTGATGAAAATTTATTTTGTTTTCCTTATCCATTATAATAGAAAATTGTGGGGGGGGGGGGGGGGGGGGGGGGGCTGAGGCGCCAATTTTATAGTTCGTCCCCGGGCGCAAAATATCATCGCTACGCCTCTGATTAGCCTACAAAACTTTGCACATCTCTACTGCCTTAAGTAAGTGGAATAGTCACCAATGTCCAGGTACATGATATTTTTTATGTAGTTTCCGATTTTTGGATCGCGCTTTGCAGCAATTCCTCACTATATTTTTCGTTTTCTATTGCCTCGTAGCACTGATTATTTTGAAACATCAAATATAATCATATTGATACTTAACATGCTAAAAATATGTCGCTGATTTCATGTTCAGTTCTAGGAGATCAACACAGTCGACATAGAAAAATAACTTTCATTCATTCCAAGGAAGTACTTGGTTGACATCTCTTAAGTCCAAAGGAGACAACTAGGTCTAAGTTGTGGTCTTGTATCGTGCGCACACACAGGTATGGGTACCATTTTTAAAATTAAAAAAAAAAAAACGGACTTTTTCTGGTTTAGTGTGGCTTTTTATCAATTTTTCCCCTTTAATTTGAAACTATGCATGATGTGGTTTTGATAAGTGTGGTCTGCTTGTGTTGTCCACGTGTTTAATCACATGCTCCAATCAGTGGCAAGTGGATGTTTGCAACATTATAATGGAGGAAATATTATATTTAAATCTACAGCTACAATAATCTATGGCAGTTGCTCCTAAAATCTACAAATACAATAATATATGGCAGTTGATCCCAAAACCTTGTTGCCCGGGCTCAATCTCGACTTTCCCAAAGCGCCATTTGTCAAATTATTACAAGTATAATGCCAAATAGAGAAATATTTCTTTTTTATATAATTAAGTTTAAAATATAAAAATAAATGAAATCATATTTAAAAATAGGCCTACAGAGCACCATCTAGTGCAATTTTTTAATAGTCTAATTACTATGTCGGTAAATTGCTTGCAACAGGCCCACTAGATTTCTTGCCCTTTCACATTAGATGGAGATAGTAATAAAATTATGCAAATTTTGTTTATTTTGCGGCGCACTTATTTACTGACCTGTAGATGTAATGCCAACCCTTTAAATGACATGTAGAAGTAATGCCAACCCTTTAAATGACATGTTGAAGTAATGCCAACCCTTTAAATGACATGTAGAAGTAATGCCAACCCTTTAAATGGCATGTAGAAGTAATGCCAACCCTTTAAATGACATGTAGAAGTAATGCCAACCCTTTAAATGGCATGTAGAAGTAATGACAACCCTTTAAATGACATGTAGAAGTAATGCCAACCCTTTAAATGACATGTAGAAGTAATGCCAACCCTTTAAATGACACGTAGAAGTAATGCCAACCCTTTAAATGACATGTAGAAGTAATGCCAACCCTTTAAATGGCATGTAGAAGTAATGCCAACCCTTTAAATGACATGTAGAAGTAATGCCAACCCTTTAAATGACATGTAGAAGTAATGCCAACCCTTTAAATGACATGTAGAAGTAATGCCAACCCTTTAAATGACATGTAGAAGTAATGCCAACCCTTTAAATGGCATGTAGAAGTAATGCCAACCCTTTAAATGACATGTAGAAGTAATGCCAACCCTTTAAATGACATGTAGAAGTAATGCCAACCCTTTAAATGACATTTAGAAGTAATGCCAACCGTTTAAATGACATGTAGAAGTAATGCCAACCCAATGACTGACCTGTAGAAGTAAAGTCCTCCCAATGACTGACTTGTACATTTTAACTGCTTACCCTTTAACTGACCGGTAGAAGTAATGAAACCCATTGACTGACCTGTAGAAGTAATGCCTACCCTTAAACTGACCGGTAGAAGTAATGAAACCCATTGACTGGCCTGTAGAAGTATAATGCTTACCCTTTAACTAACCGGTAGAAGTAATGACAACCCGTTGACTGGCCTGTAGAAGTATAATGCTTACCCTTTAACTGACCGGTAGAAGTAATGACAACCCGTTGACTGGCCTGTAGAAGTAATGCTTACCCTTTAACTGGCCGGTAGAAGTAATGACAACCCATTGACTGACCTGTAGAAGTAATGCTTACCCTTTAACTGACCGGTAGAAGTAATGACAACCCATTGACTGACCTGTAGAAGTAATGCTTACCCTTTAACTGACCGGTAGAAAGTAATGACAACCCATTGACTGACCTGTAGAAGTAATGACAACCCTTTGACTGACCGGTAGAAGTAATGACAACCCATTGACTGACCTGTAGAAGTAATGCCAGCACTGCACCAACGACCCGTGTATTCGCAGCACTCTGGTAGTAGATCAGATTGTTGGCGCCTCTGCTCCAATCCACCACAACAACATTAACGTCGCCCTTTGCAAACATGAAATACCGACATTAGAATCAATTCTTTAAAAAAACAAAAACAAACACTGCTGTAAACCAACAGAATTAGCCATTAGCTTTTTTGTTTCATGAATTACGTTCAAATTCAACTAGGCATTTTCAATATATTCAAATAAAATAAAGATCAGAGCGATTCGTTTGAATATAATGTGACAATTGAAGTTCCTAATTTTAGATCGCGTTATGCGGGGCGCGTTACAGCTGTTTTTCCACTGTATTTTCGTTTTTTATTGGCTGGTACCCATGGGCGCCCGCAGGTAGAGGCAAGGTGGGCACTTGCCCCCCCCCCCTGGATTGATTGGATACAAAATTTTTAGACAAAAATAGACAAACAATTTATTAAAGTAAAGAGCAAATAAAGAGAAAGTAACTAAGCTGATGTCCTGTCCGTTTGTCCACCATACAAATACGCTACAGTAAATTAAAACTACATTAAAACATTGCTAAAAAAATTTTGCCCCCCCCCTGGAAAGTTAATCGATTTTTTTAGCAATGTTTTAATGTAGTTTTAATTTACTGTAGCGTATTTGTATGGTGGACAAACGGACAGGACATCAGCTTAGTACCATGCTGGTACCACAGCCGTTGCGTGCGCCCTGCAACCTCTTCTGATGCAGGAGGCCTCGGATTTTTATGGCGACGAAGATGTGATGCGGGTGGGTGGGGGGGGGAGGAATAAAATAACAACTTTGAATGGACCGAAAGGTTATCACGGACCCCACCCGCACCCCAAAAAAAAGTCACGTGACGGTGCTACTTGTAGTTGCTCTAGCACTGAGATATCTAGTGGTTTAGGGCAGGGGAAGCCCAAAAATTGAAATTAAGGAACTCGACCATATTTTTGGTTTCAGTTATTATAAATCATGTGGAACAAAATACATTTAAAAACATTTCTAAAATCGATATAAGTAATAAAATAAATCTCCAGTACAGATAGACCCAGAACCTTAAAAAATTGACATGCTGCAATAATTGATGGTGTTATAAATGGTTAGTAAAATATTTGTATTAAAGAGAAAATGTAATTTTCCTGAAAATATCCCTAATCTTCGATGCAAAAGTTTGGCTATACGCGTTAATACTTTCCCGAATATATTTTATTTTTTTAAACGATCTGAATAATCTTATTAAAGCAGAAAATAAATATATCATGGACATGTATGCCAATTTATATAGCTATTGATTAAGTAATGAAGGAGTTTGATACGAAGTAATTCTAAGGCAAATGATATTTTGAGAAAACTATTTCTAGAAGCAACATTTACAACTATTTCTGGTGGCATCATCTACAGCTATTTCTGGTGGCATCATCTACATCTATTTCTGGTGGCATCGTCTACAGCTATTTCTGGTGGCATCATCTAAAGCTAATACAGCTATTTCTGGTGGCATCATCTACAGCTAATACAGCTATTTCTGGTGGCATCATCTACAGCTAATACAGCTATTTCTGGTGGCATCATCTACAGCTAATACAGCTATTTCTGGTGGCATCATCTACAGCTATTTCTGGTGGCAACATATACAGCTATTTCTGGTGGCAACATATACATCTATTTCTAGTGGCATTATCTACAGCTATTTCTATTGGCATCATCTACAGCTATTTCTGGTGGCATCATCTACAGCTATTTCTGGTGGCATCATCTACAGCTAATACAGCTATTTCTGGTGGTATCATCTACAGCTATTTCTGGTGGTATCATCTACAGCTATTTCAGGTGGCATCATCTACAGCTATTTCTGGTGGCATCATCTACAGCTATTTCTGGTGGCATCATCTACAGCTTTTTCTGGTGGCATCATCTACAGCTATTTCTGGTGGCATCATCTACAGCTATTTATGGTGGCATCATCTACAGCTAATACAGCTATTTCTAGTGGCATCATCTACAGCTATTTCTGGTGGCATCATCTACAGCTATTTCTAGTGGCATCATCTACAGCTATTTCTAGTGGCATCATCTACAGCTATTTCTAGTGGCATCATCTACAGCTATTTCTAGTGGCATTATCTACAGCTATTTCTGGTGGCATCATCTACAGCTATTTCTAGTGGCATTATCTACAGCTATTTCTAGTGGCATCATCTACAGCTATTTCTAGTGGCATCATCTACAGCTATTTCTAGTGGCATCATCTACAGCTATTTCTGGTGGCATCATCTACAGCTATTTCCATTGGCATCATCTACAGCTATTTCTAGTGGTATCATCTACAGCTTTTTCTAGTGGCATCATCTTCAACAAATGATTTCTTGGTCTTGGGACAGCGATACCAATTAAATTATGGAAAGCTTCATTTGCATTCCCCCCCCCCTTTCCGGGCACCACTCCCCCTCCCCGTGTGGACCTATTTTGGCTGAAAGATCATCACATGAAATCTGAAATACTGGCATAAAGTGGTATCATCTACAGCTTTTTCTAGTGGCATCATCTTCAACAAATGATTTCTTGGTCTTGGGACAGCGATACCAATTAAATTATGGAAAGCTTCATTTGCATTCCCCCCCCCCCCTTTCCGGGCACCACTCCCCCTCCCCGTGTGGACCTATTTTGGCTGAAAGATCATCACATGAAATCTGAAATACTGGCATAATATTACTCATCACAAGAGAAGGAAAAACTTTCATTTTTTCCAGTTTCTACTTTATCTTGAGACACCAACTATCACAATTTTTATGCTTACAAAATGAATTATTGCCCAGATAAATATATTTTTCATTTTACCCATGTCCCCTAAAAGTTTTTCTGACTGCCCCACCATAATGTCCTTGGCTGGGCAGCTTTATAGCACATTTAGTTAATCTGCCTGCCCCACCTAAACCTTTAAAAAGTTTGACCATTCTCCACAATATTTTCCTTAACTTTTCCCAATTCTTGTCTGGACATGACCGCAACATGCTAATTTTGAATTTGGTACTCCTTTATAAACTAGAGGATTAGCTTCAGCTACATTTTAAAACCTAAGAATCACCGTCCCTTAAATATACAGTATATGAGAGGTTATATTTTTCTTTTTAACGGCGAAAGATTTTTAAAACGTCTTTCGGTTACATCAGACCAGAATTATCTCGATGATTTGGGTGCACATTCACCAGTATTCATTAAAAAAAAACTTTTTTTGCAGTTATTTTATCAGTTTATGCCTTTTAACCTCACATGAGAAAAAGGAGGTCTTTAAGAATTGTCCATTCATCTCGGTCATGTGCTTTCCTTTACAGTTGTTCCCAGGCGTATACCATACTTTGTGTTTCTGCATCTGGTTCGCGTGCCCATGTATTCTGTGGCCTTCCTCTCTTCCCTTTTCGCTGTGGGTTCCATGTTTAGGGAATGTCTGGTGATGTTATAGGGGGGGGGGGTTCCACAAAGAGTTTGCCTTACCCACCTCTATCTTATCGTTTTGATGTCGTCAACAACAGGCTCTTGATATGTCATCTCCAGTGAGTCTTGTGGGTGACGGTGATTTGGCCATTTTATGTTCAGAATCTTTCTAAGGCAATACGTTTATGAAAGTATGTACTTTCTGCGGGATGCTCGCCGCTGTTCCCCAAGTTTCGGGTCCACGGAGTGGGACTGATTTAACATAATTTGTGGTGAAAACTCGAGCATTAGTTTAGTTGTATAGGCTACAATCACACGCTGTTACCTTCTGTAATATTGCAGTGGCCATTTGTTCTATCCACTCCGTATTGGTGTTCTCTAGGTACCCATGAATGATGACGACAGTCTTGACAGCAGGGTTGAACACATTGTCACGAACCTGTCACAGAAATTGAAAGTGCAATTGGTTTAACTTGAAGGCATCTTTCTATCAATTCAAAAGAATATATTGATTTGGTAATAATGCTTAAGTATTTTTAAAAATCAAATAAAAATAACCATTTTAAGCTATTCTGCGATGATAGGGTTCAATACCCCAATAGAATAAGTTAATCATTTTACGCCCATGTCACATATATAGTATAAAGCTCTAAGTTAATCATTTTACCCCCATGTCACAGATATAGTATAAAGCTCTAAGTTAATCATTTTACGCCCATGTCACATATATAGTATAAAGCTCTAAGTTAATCATTTTACCCCCATGTCACAGATATAGTATAAAGCTCTAAGTTAATCATTTTACCCCCATGTCACAGATATAGTATAAAGCTCTAAGTTAATCATTTTACTCTCATGTCACAGATATAGTATAAAGCTCTAAGTTAATAATTTTACCCCCATGTCACAGATATAGTATAAAGCTCTAAGTTAATCATTTTACCCCCATGTCACATATATAGTATAAAGCTCTAAGTTAATCATTTTACTCTCATGTCACAGATATATATATATAGTATAAAGCTCTAAGTTAATCATTTTACTCTCATGTCACATATATAGTATAAAGCTCTAAGTTAATCATTTTACTCTCATGTCACAGATATAGTATAAAGCTCTAAGTTAATAATTTTACCCCCATGTCACAGATATAGTATAAAGCTCTAAGTTAATCATTTTACCCCCATGTCACATATATAGTATAAAGCTCTAAGTTAATCATGTTACGCCCATGTCACAGATATTTCCAAGGCTCTAATTCTAAGGCGCTGTTAGTCAAACAATTCCTTTAAAAAATGTCTAACCTGATGGAGCTGGTCAAGTGTGACTGTAGCATGATCAGAGTTGCCATAGAAATGAAACTGTGGCCGAATTATCTGGGGACTCTGTGGCCCAAGTCCGGCAGTGTTGTTGTATGGGTAACTTGTGGGAAAACATCCTATTGGTGGGTTTGTGTAACACTGGGTCCACCATTGGGGTAGTAACCAGCCTTAATAATAGAAGACATTGCTCATTAGAAACATCCTATTGGTGGGTTTGTGTAAGTAACAGTGAGTCAATGATTGGGGTAGTTTACAGATATGTGGGTTTGTGTAACACTGAGCCCACCTTTGTGGTAGTTTACAGATATGTGGGTTTGTAACATTGAGCCCACCTTTGTGGTAGTATACATAATATATGTGGGTTTGTGTAACACTGAGCCCACCATTGTGTTAGTTTACAGATATGTGGGTTTGTTCACCACTGACTCCATCATTGGGGTAGTATGCAGTCTTGCAGCTCTAATGAAAGACATGTTTCATTAGTTCAAATTAGTGAAGTAGGTGTCAAGAAATGAATCAGTTAATACATTACTGTACTTCAATTTCTACTGCTATAAATAATCTATTAAATTCATAGAAATTAATTAATATTATTAGCAGGGATGCTGGTAGAAGAGTAGGGCAAAAGCAGGTAGAAAGGTAGGGAACAAAATTGGTAGAAGAGTGGGGGCAACATTGCTGGTATAAGAGTAGAGCAACATAGCTAATAGAACAACATGGCATCATTTTTAACGAATTATTTTTTTTCGTATTTAAAACTTTTAAATATATTATTTTTTCTAACTTAAATTTTTAAAATTATTTTTTTTTAAAATTATTGTTTTAGCTTAGAGCAGTAAAAATGTTACAAGCTCCGCTTAAAGCCACGGGCAAAAAGACTTTGTCCCAGAGCTCAGATATCTCAATCCCTGTGTATTAGTTGACCTCGTGAGTAGAGATCAAACTTTAAGCCTTAAAGCAGTAGATTAATTTTAATTTTGTTTGCTTTACTTTAATTTTTAAAGACATTTTTTTTTAGTTTCCATTGAAACTTTTTTTTTTAGTTTCCATTGAATTTTTTTTTTTTTTAATTGAGATATCTAAGTCTAAGGTGGCAGGTAGCCAAGAGAAACTCTCTAAGTCTAAGGTGGCAGGTAACTGAGAGCTCTAAGTCTAAGGTGGCATGTAGTCAAGAGAAACTCTCTAAGTCTAAGGTGGCAGGTAACTGAGAGCTCTAAGTCTAAGGTGGCATGTAGTCAAGAGAAACTCTCGAAGTCTAAGGTGGCATGCAGTCAAGAGAAACTGAGAGCTCTAAGTCTAAGGTGGCATGTAGTCAAGAGAAACTCTCGAAGTCTAAGGTGGCATGCAGTCAAGAGAAACTGAGAGCTCTAAGTCTAAGCTGGTGGGTGGTCAAGAGAAACTCTCGAAGTCTAAGGTGGCATGTAGTCAAGAGAAACTCTCGAAGTCTAAGGTGGCATGTAGTCAAGAGAAACTGAGATCTCTAAGTCTAAGGTGGCATGTAGTCAAGAGAAACTCTCGAAGTCTAAGGTGGCAGGTAACTGAGAGCTCTAAGTCTAAGGTGGCATGTAGTCAAGAGAAACTCTCGAAGTCTAAGGTGGCGGGTAGTCAAGAGAAACTGAGATCTCTAAGTCTAAGGTGGCATGTAGTCAAGAGAAACTTTCGAAGTCTACGGTGGCGGGTAGTCAAGAGAAACTTCTGCCATGGAAACATTGCGCAATCCAATATGTGCTCAAATCTATTTTTATGTTTAAAAGCTTATTGTACCTCGATTCACTATAAACATTTTAATTTCACTCGTTATAGAGAGTTATTAAAATAAATCTTCTGTAGGGATCACGTTTCTTGTGACACATAACAGTTTGTTTCTTGTGACACATAACAGTTTCTTTCTTGTGACACATAACAGTTTCTTTCTTGTGACACATAACAGTTTGTTTCTTGTGACACATAACAGTTTCTTTCTTGTGACACATAACAGTTTGTTTCTTGTGACACATAACAGTTTCTTTCCTGTGACACATAACAGTTTCTTTCTTGTGACACATAACATTTTGTTTCGTGTGACACATAACAGTTTGTTTCCTGTGACACATAACAGTTTGTTTCTTGTGACAGAAATACACATCGTCAGTGGCGTAGCCAGAATTTTCCAGACACGGAAAAAGTGGTGTGGGGGAGGGGGGGGGGTTCTACGACCGACCCACCGAATGGGATTTTTAGGTTTAATATATTTATTACGAACATTTTTATCAGAGGAAATTTAAATGGTGGCATTTAAGGATAATTTTGCACCATTATTAGAAGTAACCCTTAGTATCTTATTTGCATACGTTATCAAATATATATCTATATTTGCGTTATTTGCTAAACTTTATAAAGACATAGTTTAGGATACTGTCAGTAATACTATTTGGCACATATATTAATTTAGTTATTTTTTTTAACCAACACAATCTCCAGACAGATCTCTCGGTGTGTTAACTCGCAACGAGCTTGAGGGGAAAAGTTTTTTCTTCCATGTGCTACGGACATTAAGAAAAATATACCACAAATAACACAAATAGTAAATTAACATTTTTAAGCTTCTGATTCTGAGTAGCACAGAAGCGCTTCATATTCAGAAAGATTCAATAAAATACATGCAATTAACATACGCATAATTCCCACGCTGCATTATTATTTATTTATGTATTGTCATTTATGCATAGTACCTAGATGTCTTACTTGAAACAGAATGATGACATTGAGAATATCTGGCTGCTTGTGTACATAAAGAGAAAAGGATATCACTAAAACTAAAAGTGAATTCGTAAAAAAATTATGAAAAATGGTTTTGCAAGCACAAAAGAAAAAAAAAATTAATCTCACAAACGCAAGGTCCAGTCAGAATCAAGGATGAAACAATGAACAAAAACAATGACACCTCCTTTGTCCTCATATTTTCTTTATCTGCTGAACGAATGTTTGTCAGCAACCTCACGTGACCTTTGTAGGGCCGTTCTATCGAGAGTAAGTGATAAAGAGAAGTGACATTAGCTTGTAGGCATATTTCATTACAGTTACTGATAAAAGAAGCAATGGGGAAAAAAAGAAAAATAGTGATTTATTGGGGGGGGGGGGGGGAATTATAAAAAAATTTTACTATTTATTAACTATTAAAACAAAAAGGATTTATGTAAAATTGTAGGCATATTTCATTACAGTTACTGATAAAAGAAGCAATGGGGAAAAAAAGAAAAATAGTGATTTATTGGGGGGGGGGGGGTGAATTATAAAACAATTTTACTATTTATTAACTACTAAAACAAAAAGGATTTATGTAAACAACGATGGTTAAGGAGACCCTAATTTTTGACAAGCATTACGATTACATCTAGAGCTTTGCAAAACTATATTCAGGGATATAGACTATATACGCAAAAGGGCCTTCCTGCGTTTTGAATTTCTAAAAATAATTATGGGCAGGGGGACTTCTCCCAAACCCCACCCTCAATTTTGTTCGGTTGACTTCGTCGGGTGCCCTAAAATGCCCTTCATTTCCTCTTTAGGCAAGCATCAGTATAGCAAAAGTAAGTCGTAACATTAGGACGCTTTTACTGTATTATAATTTGAATTGAATCAACAATTTAAAAAAAAAAATTATTCCTACGATCGATTGTGTCAGTAGACACATCAGTTCTTCTTTGGTCATGGCTTAAAATGGTGTTGAAACGTAGCAGGAATGTATGGATGTTTGAGTTCTAATCTAGCTAGGGTTATGGCGCCCCGGGGAGAGATGGGTGGGGGGTGGAGAGTCTGAGTTTTTGCCAACAAACCGGGAACAAAAAACTCTGCAGTTGGCCTATAAAATGTTGTCCCTTAATATAGTAAAAAGTGCTGCCCCTTGCAGTTGGCTCCCTCAGCCTCATTCGTCCTACGCCACTGGTTCCGATACTCTACAAACTTTGTTTTCTGGCCAAAGTCCTAATGCTTCTCTCTGGCCAAAGTCATCATGCTTCAGTCTGGCCAAAGTCATCATGCTTCTCTCTGTTCAAAGTCATCATGCTTCTGTCTGGTCAAAGTCATTATGCTTCTCTCTGTTCAAAGTTAGCATGCTTATTTCTATTCAAAGCCATCATTCTTCTCTCTGGTCAAAGTCATCATGCTTCTCTCTGGTCAAAGTCATCATGCTTCTCTCTGGACACAGTCCCACGCTTCTCTCTGGACACAGTCCCATGCTTCTCTCTGGACACAGTCCCACGCTTCTCTCTGGACAAAGATTCATGCTTCTCTCTGGACAAAGTTCCATGCTTCTCTCTGGACACAGTTCCATGCTTCTCTCTGGTCAAAGTCATCATCCTTCTCTCTGGACACAGTCCCACGCTTCTCTCTGGACAAAGATTCATGCTTCTCTCTGGACAAAGTTCCATGCTTCTCTCTGGACACAGTTCCATGCTTCTCTCTGGTCAAAGTCATCATCCTTCTCTCTGGACACAGTTCCATGCTTCTCTCTGGTCAAAGTCATCATCCTTCTCTCTGGACACAGTTCCATGCTTCTCTCTGGTCAAAGTCATCATCCTTCTCTCTGGACACAGTCCCACGCTTCTCTCTGGACAAAGATTCATGCTTCTCTCTGGACAAAGTTCCATGCTTCTCACTTCTCTCTGGACACAGTCCCACGCTTCTCTCTGGACAAAGATTCATGCTTCTCTCTGGACAAAGTTCCATGCTTCTCTCTGGACACAGTTCCATGCTTCTCTCTGGTCAAAGTCATCATCCTTCTCTCTGGACACAGTTCCACGCTTCTCTCTGGTCAAAGTCATCATCCTTCTCTCTGTACAAAGTTCCATGCTTCTCTCTGGTCAAAGTCATCATCCTTCTCTCTGGACACAGTTCCATGCTTCTCTCTGGTCAAAGTCATCATCCTTCTCTCTGGACACAGTCCCATGCTTCTCTCTGGTCAAAGTCATCATCCTTCTCTCTGGACACAGTTCCATGCTTTTCTCTGGACACAGTCATCATGCTTCTCTCTGGACACAGTCATCATGCTTCTCTCTGGCCAAAGTCATCATGCTTCTCTCTGTTCAAAGTCATCATGCTTCTCTCTGTTCAAAGTCATCATGCTTCTTTCTGTTCAAAGTCATCATGCTTCTCTCTGGACACAGTCCCATACTTCCCTCTGGACACAGTCCCATGCTTTTCTATGTTCAAATTCATCATGCTTCTCTCTTTTCAAAGTCATAGTCCTTCTCTCTGTTCAAAGTCATCACGCTTCTCTCTGTTCAAAGTCATCATGCTTCTCTCTGTTCAAAGTCATAGTCCTTCTCTCTGTTCAAAGTCATCATGCTTCTCTCTGTTCAAAGTCATCATGCTTCTCTCTGTTCAAAGTCATCGTGCTTCTCTCTGTTCAAAGTCATCGTGCTTCTCTCTGTTCAAAGTCATCATGCTTCTCTCTGTTCAAAGTCATCGTCCTTCTCTCTGTTCAAAGTCATCGTGCTTCTCTCTGTTCAAAGTCATCGTGCTTCTCTCTGTTCAAAGTCATCGTCCTTCTCTCTGTTCAAAGTCATCGTGCTTCTCTCTGTTCAAAGTCATCACGCTTCTCTCTGTTCAAAGTCATAGTCCTTCTCTGTGTTCAAAGTCATCATGCTTCTCTCTGTTCAAAGTCATCATGCTTCTCTCTGTTCAAAGTCATCGTGCTTCTCTCTGTTCAAAGTCATCGTGCTTCTCTCTGTTCAAAGTCATCATGCTTCTCTCTGTTCAAAGTCATCATGCTTCTCTCTGTTCAAAGTCATCATGCTTCTCTCTGTTCAAAGTCATCATGCTTCTCTCTGTTCAAAGTCATCATGCTTCTCTCTGTTCAAAGTCATCATGCTTCTCTCTGTTCAAAGTCATCATGCTTCTCTCTGTTCAAAGTCATCATGCTTCTCTCTGTTCAAAGTCATCATGCTTCTCTCTGTTCAAAGTCATCATGCTTCTCTCTGTTCAAAGTCATCATGCTTCTCTCTGTTCAAAGTCATCATGCTTCTCTCTGTTCAAAGTCATCATGCTTCTCTCTGTTCAAAGTCATCATGCTTCTCTCTGTTCAAAGTCATCATGCTTCTCTCTGTTCAAAGTCATCATGCTTCTCTCTGTTCAAAGTCATCATGCTTCTCTCTGTTCAAAGTCATCATGCTTCTCTCTGTTCAAAGTCATCATGCTTCTCTCTGTTCAAAGTCATCATGCTTCTCTCTGTTCAAAGTCATCATGCTTCTCTCTGTTCAAAGTCATCATGCTTCTCTCTGTTCAAAGTCATCATGCTTCTCTCTGTTCAAAGTCATCATGCTTCTCTCTGTTCAAAGTCATCATGCTTCTCTCTGTTCAAAGTCATCATGCTTCTCTCTGTTCAAAGTCATCATGCTTCTCTCTGTTCAAAGTCATCATGCTTCTCTCTGTTCAAAGTCATCATGCTTCTCTCTGTTCAAAGTCATCACGCTTCTCTCTGTTCAAAGTCATCACGCTTCTCTCTGTTCAAAGTCATCATGCTTCTCTCTGTTCAAAGTCATCATGCTTCTCTCTGTTCAAAGTCATCATGCTTCTCTCTGTTCAAAGTCATCACACTTCTCTCTGTTCAAAGTCATCACGCTTCTCTCTGTTCAAAGTCATCACGCTTTTCTCTGTTCAAAGTCATCATGCTTCTCTCTGTTCAAAGTCATCATGCTTCTCTCTGTTCAAAGTCATCGTGCTTCTCTCTGTTCAAAGTCATCATGCTTCTCTCTGTTCAAAGTCATCATGCTTCTCTCTGTTCAAAGTCATCATGCTTCTCTCTGTTCAAAGTCATCATGCTTCTCTCTGTTCAAAGTCATCACGCTTCTCTCTGTTCAAAGTCATCACGCTTCTCTCTGTTCAAAGTCATCACGCTTCTCTCTGTTCAAAGTCATCACGCTTCTCTCTGTTCAAAGTCATCACGCTTCTCTCTGTTCAAAGTCATCACGCATAGTCCTTCTCTGTGTTCAAAGTCATCATGCTTCTCTCTGTTCAAAGTCATCATGCTTCTCTCTGTTCAAAGTCATCGTGCTTCTCTCTGTTCAAAGTCATCGTGCTTCTCTCTGTTCAAAGTCATCGTGCTTCTCTCTGTTCAAAGTCATCACGCTTCTCTCTGTTCAAAGTCATAGTCCTTCTCTCTGTTCAAAGTCATCATGCTTCTCTCTGTTCAAAGTCATCATGCTTCTCTCTGTTCAAAGTCATCGTCCTTCTCTCTGTTCAAAGTCATCATGCTTCTCTCTGTTCAAAGTCATCATGCTTCTCTCTGTTCAAAGTCATCGTGCTTCTCTCTGTTCAAAGTCATCGTGCTTCTCTCTGTTCAAAGTCATCATGCTTCTCTCTGTTCAAAGTCATCGTCCTTCTCTCTGTTCAAAGTCATCGTGCTTCTCTCTGTTCAAAGTCATCGTGCTTCTCTCTGTTCAAAGTCATCGTCCTTCTCTCTGTTCAAAGTCATCGTGCTTCTCTCTGTTCAAAGTCATCACGCTTCTCTCTGTTCAAAGTCATAGTCCTTCTCTGTGTTCAAAGTCATCATGCTTCTCTCTGTTCAAAGTCATCATGCTTCTCTCTGTTCAAAGTCATCGTGCTTCTCTCTGTTCAAAGTCATCGTGCTTCTCTCTGTTCAAAGTCATCATGCTTCTCTCTGTTCAAAGTCATCATGCTTCTCTCTGTTCAAAGTCATCGTGCTTCTCTCTGTTCAAAGTCATCATGCTTCTCTCTGTTCAAAGTCATCACACTTCTCTCTGTTCAAAGTCATAGTCCTTCTCTGTGTTCAAAGTCATCATGCTTCTCTCTGTTCAAAGTCATCATGCTTCTCTCTGTTCAAAGTCATCGTGCTTCTCTCTGTTCAAAGTCATCGTGCTTCTCTCTGTTCAAAGTCATCATGCTTCTCTCTGTTCAAAGTCATCATCCTTCTCTCTGTTCAAAGTCATCATGCTTCTCTCTGTTCAAAGTCATCACGCTTCTCTCTGTTCAAAGTCATCATGCTTCTCTCTGTTCAAAG